TGTAATGGATGGGTGTTGTGGGTGTTGTGTAATGGGTGGGTGTTGTGGGTGTTGTGTAATGGGTGGGTGTTGTGGGTGTTGTGTGTTGGGTGGGTGTTGTGGGTTTGGTGGGTGTTGTGGGTTTGGTGGGTGTTGTGTGTTGGGTGGGTATTGTGTGTTGGGTGGGTGTTGTGGGTTTGGTGGGTGTTGCGGGTTGGGTGGGTGTTGTTGGTTGGGTGGGTATTGTGTGTTGGGCGGGTGTTGTGGGTTGGGTGGGTGTTGTGTGTTGGGTGGGTATTGTGTGTTGGGTGGGTGTTGTTGGTTGGGTGGGTGTTGTGTGTTGGGTGGGTGTTGTTGGTTGGGTGGGTGTTGGGTGTTGGGTGGGTGTTGTGGGGTAGGTAGATGTGGTTGGTGTTGTGGGTGTTGTGGGTTGGGTGGGTGTTGTGGGCTGTGGGGTAGGTGGGTGTTGTGGGGTGGGTGGGTGTTGTGGGTGTTGTGCGTGTTGTGGGTTGGGTGGGTGTTGTGTGTTGGGTGGGTATTGTGTGTTGGGTGGGTGTTGTGGGTTTGGTGGGTGTTGTGTGTTGGTTGGGTATTGTGTGTTGGGTGGGTGTTGTTGGTTGGGTGGGTGTTGTGTGTTGGGTGGGTATTGTGTGTTGGGTGGGTGTTGTGGGTTTGGTGGGTGTTGTGTGTTGGGTGGGTATTGTGTGTTGGGTGGGTGTTGTGGGTTGGGTGGGTGTTGTGTGTTGGGTGGGTATTGTGTGTTGGGTGGGTGTTGTGGGTTTGGTGGGTGTTGTGTGTTGGGTGGGTATTGTGTGTTGGGTGGGTGTTGTGGGTTGGGTGGGTGTTGTGTGTTGGGTGGGTATTGTGTGTTGGGTAGGTGTTGTGGGTTTGGTGGGTGTTGTGTGTTGGGTGGGTGTTGTGTGTTGGGTGGGTGTTGTTGGTTGGGTGGGTGTTGTGTGTTGTGTAATGGGTGGGTGTTGTGGGTGTTGTGTAATGGGTGGGTGTTGTGGGTGTTGTGTAATGGGTGGGTGTTGTGGGTGTTGTGTAATGGGTGGGTGTTGTGGATGTTGTGTGTTTGGTGGGTGTTGTGGGTTTGGTGGGTGTTGTGGGTTTGGTGGGTGTTGTGTGTTGGGTGGGTATTGTGTGTTGGGTGGGTGTTGTGGGTTTGGTGGGTGTTGCGGGTTGGGTGGGTGTTGTTGGTTGGGTGGGTATTGTGTGTTGGGCGGGTGTTGTGGGTTGGGTGGGTGTTGTGTGTTGGGTGGGTATTGTGTGTTGGGTGGGTGTTGTTGGTTGGGTGGGTGTTGTGTGTTGGGTGGGTGTTGTGGGTTTGGTGGGTGTTGTGTGTTGGGTGGGTGTTGTGTGTTGGGTGGGTATTGTGTGTTGGGTGGGTGTTGTGGGTTTGGTGGGTGTTGCGGGTTGGGTGGGTGTTGTTGGTTGGGTGGGTATTGTGTGTTGGGCGGGTGTAATGGGTGGGTGTTGTGGGTGTTGTGTGTTGGGTGGGTGTTGTGTGTTGGGTGGGTGTTGTGGGTGCTGTGGGGTAGGTGGGTGTTGTGGGTGTTGTGTGTTGGCAGGGTGTTGTGGGTTGGGTGGGTGTTGTGGGTTGGGTGGGTGTTGTGGGTTGGGTGGGTGCTGCGGGGTAGGTGGGTGTTGTGGGTGATGTGTGTTGGGTGGGTGTTGTGGGGTAGGTAGATGTTGTTGGTGTTGTGGGTGTTGTGGGTTGGGTGGGTGTTGTGGGTTCGGTGGGTGTTGTGGGTGTTGTGTAATGGGTGGGTGTTGTGGGTGTTGTGTAATGGGTGGGTGTTGTGGATGTTGTGTGTTTGGTGGGTGTTGTGGGTTTGGTGGGTGTTGTGTGTTGGGTGGGTATTGTGTGTTGGGTGGGTGTTGTGGGTTTGGTGGGTGTTGCGGGTTGGGTGGGTGTTGTTGGTTGGGTGGGTATTGTGTGTTGGGCGGGTGTTGTGGGTTGGGTGGGTGTTGTGTGTTGGGTGGGTATTGTGTGTTGGGTGGGTGTTGTTGGTTGGGTGGGTGTTGTGTGTTGGGTGGGTGTTGTGGGTTTGGTGGGTGTTGTGTGTTGGGTGGGTGTTGTGTGTTGGGTGGGTATTGTGTGTTGGGTGGGTGTTGTGGGTTTGGTGGGTGTTGCGGGTTGGGTGGGTGTTGTTGGTTGGGTGGGTATTGTGTGTTGGGCGGGTGTTGTGGGTTGGGTGGGTGTTGTGTGTTGGGTGGGTGTTGTGTGTTGGGTGGGTGTTGTGGGTTTGGTGGGTGTTGTGTGTTGGGTGGGTGTTGTGTGTTGGGTGGGTGTTGTTGGTTGGGTGGGTGTTGTGTGTTGTGTAATGGGTGGGTGTTGTGGGTGTTGTGTAATGGATGGGTGTTGTGGGTGTTGTGTAATGGGTGGGTGTTGTGGGTGTTGTGTAATGGGTGGGTGTTGTGGGTGTTGTGTGTTGGGTGGGTGTTGTGGGTTTGGTGGGTGTTGTGGGTTTGGTGGGTGTTGTGTGTTGGGTGGGTATTGTGTGTTGGGTGGGTGTTGTGGGTTTGGTGGGTGTTGCGGGTTGGGTGGGTGTTGTTGGTTGGGTGGGTATTGTGTGTTGGGCGGGTGTTGTGGGTTGGGTGGGTGTTGTGTGTTGGGTGGGTATTGTGTGTTGGGTGGGTGTTGTTGGTTGGGTGGGTGTTGTGTGTTGGGTGGGTGTTGTTGGTTGGGTGGGTGTTGGGTGTTGGGTGGGTGTTGTGGGGTAGGTAGATGTGGTTGGTGTTGTGGGTGTTGTGGGTTGGGTGGGTGTTGTGGGCTGTGGGGTAGGTGGGTGTTGTGGGGTGGGTGGGTGTTGTGGGTGTTGTGCGTGTTGTGGGTTGGGTGGGTGTTGTGTGTTGGGTGGGTATTGTGTGTTGGGTGGGTGTTGTGGGTTTGGTGGGTGTTGTGTGTTGGTTGGGTATTGTGTGTTGGGTGGGTGTTGTTGGTTGGGTGGGTGTTGTGTGTTGGGTGGGTATTGTGTGTTGGGTGGGTGTTGTGGGTTTGGTGGGTGTTGTGTGTTGGGTGGGTATTGTGTGTTGGGTGGGTGTTGTGGGTTGGGTGGGTGTTGTGTGTTGGGTGGGTATTGTGTGTTGGGTGGGTGTTGTGGGTTTGGTGGGTGTTGTGTGTTGGGTGGGTATTGTGTGTTGGGTGGGTGTTGTGGGTTGGGTGGGTGTTGTGTGTTGGGTGGGTATTGTGTGTTGGGTGGGTGTTGTGGGTTTGGTGGGTGTTGTGTGTTGGGTGGGTGTTGTGTGTTGGGTGGGTGTTGTTGGTTGGGTGGGTGTTGTGTGTTGTGTAATGGGTGGGTGTTGTGGGTGTTGTGTAATGGGTGGGTGTTGTGGGTGTTGTGTAATGGGTGGGTGTTGTGGGTGTTGTGTAATGGGTGGGTGTTGTGGATGTTGTGTGTTTGGTGGGTGTTGTGGGTTTGGTGGGTGTTGTGGGTTTGGTGGGTGTTGTGTGTTGGGTGGGTATTGTGTGTTGGGTGGGTGTTGTGGGTTTGGTGGGTGTTGCGGGTTGGGTGGGTGTTGTTGGTTGGGTGGGTATTGTGTGTTGGGCGGGTGTTGTGGGTTGGGTGGGTGTTGTGTGTTGGGTGGGTATTGTGTGTTGGGTGGGTGTTGTTGGTTGGGTGGGTGTTGTGTGTTGGGTGGGTGTTGTGGGTTTGGTGGGTGTTGTGTGTTGGGTGGGTGTTGTGTGTTGGGTGGGTATTGTGTGTTGGGTGGGTGTTGTGGGTTTGGTGGGTGTTGCGGGTTGGGTGGGTGTTGTTGGTTGGGTGGGTATTGTGTGTTGGGCGGGTGTAATGGGTGGGTGTTGTGGGTGTTGTGTGTTGGGTGGGTGTTGTGTGTTGGGTGGGTGTTGTGGGTGCTGTGGGGTAGGTGGGTGTTGTGGGTGTTGTGTGTTGGCAGGGTGTTGTGGGTTGGGTGGGTGTTGTGGGTTGGGTGGGCGTTGTGGGTTGGGTGGGTGCTGCGGGGTAGGTGGGTGTTGTGGGTGATGTGTGTTGGGTGGGTGTTGTGGGGTAGGTAGATGTTGTTGGTGTTGTGGGTGTTGTGGGTTGGGTGGGTGTTGTGGGTTGGGTGGGTGTTGTGGGGTAGGTGGGTGTTGTGGGGTGGGTGGGTGTTGTGCGTGTTGTGGGTTGGGTGGGTGTTGTGGGGTAGGTGGGTGTTGTGGGTTGGATGGGTGTGGTAGGGTAGGTGGATGTTGTGGGTGTTGTAGGTCGGGTGGGTGTTGTGGGTGTTGTGCGTGTTGTGGGTTGGTGGGTGTTGTGGGGTAGGTGGGTGTTGTGGGTTGGGTGGGTGTTGTGCGTGTTGTGGGTCGGTTAGGTGTTGTGGGTGTTGTGGGTTGGATGGGTGTTGTGGGTTGGGTCGGGTAGGTGGGTGTTGTGGGTTGGGTGGGTGTTGTGGGGTAGGTGGGTGTTGTGGGTTGGTTGGGTGTTGTGGGTTGGGTGGGTGTTGTGGGTTGGGTGGGTGTAGTGTGTTGGGTGGGTGTTGTGGGTTGGGTGGGTGTTGTGGTTTAGGTGGGTGTTGTGGGTTAGGTGGGTGTTGTGGGTTAGGTGGGTGTTGTGGGTTAGGTGGGTGTTGTGGGTTGGGTGGGTGTTGTGGGTTAGGTGGGTGTTGTGGGGTAGGTGGGTGTTGTGGGTTGGGTGGGTGTTGTGGGTTAGGTGTTGATTTCGTTACACTATTTTGATTGGACTCTGCTTCGACTCGACCCTGACGACTTGAGACCAATCAGACCGACATTTCTTTTGTTGATACTATGTATGATACTATGTTGCTCCTTTGAATTCTTTAAAAATATTAACGCACCATTCACCTACGTACATCAAGTCCATCAAACCTGCTCCATATTCCCAGATTCTTTATTTGAATCACAACACTAAATGTTCCACTCTCTTTTGAAAGTGAATTTCTTACAAACCCGTGAATGGGCAAAAGAGCAAATACAGAGTACGTTAGATGTGAAGAAGTGGAACTTTAGGTAAATCAACTAAAATATGATTATCGTTAATAGAAAAATAGAAAGAATGTGGCACTTTTTAAGATATTCACCGTGTGTGATTTATTGTCTGGGAACAAAGTAAAAGTTCTATACAGCTGATTTGTTTTACAAAGAAATTGTACAAGTGATCATGAATGCATAGTAATGTACTCCCGCACACGAATACAAATTTACTGAGTCAAGGGCACATGAAAACGAATTACAAACACTCATGTTTACAGAAGATGGCGTACTTGTAAAGAGCAGGCCTATAGCTGGTTATATTGAGCTACATTGTGCATCTATGAATTATGTTCATCATCGTCATTCTGTTTCAACATTGTCTTCACCGAAAAGTTCGAAGCACTGAAGACAAAAACTCATTTTGTATGACTATATATCTTTGGATGGTATAATAAATCCTTTCTGTGTTGGTTCCATACATATTTGTCACACTTGGTAAAACAAATTTTATTGAAAATAATGTGTCTCTTATATAAATCGCTACTCCTTTTGTAAACAAAGTATGATAAATGTTGAATTTTTATTACCTAAAGTTTCTGAACATTATATCAGGAACATCCCAAAGTAGTTGGAGTGAGGTGCTCCGACATGGATGTTCCCGGGAACACTGGACATGACCTTGACCCTGGTGTTGGCCTCCAGGTAGAAGGTGGCCCCGAGGCTGCTGGTGGTGTAGGCGAGACGTCCCCGTCTGATGCTGGGGGTGGACTGTAGGTTCCTCATCAGGGGTGTTGGTGCTTCCTCCAGCTCTGACGCCTTCTGTTTCACCACTGCGTGAATGATCCGCCCATAGTCCAACTCCTGGGTTCCGTTGCCACTGAATAGGACCTGTTCACGTGCAGACATAAGCTGACTTACAGACATATTCACAACCCTATAGCTAGATGGTGATTTCACAACTGCGAAACTCCATGACGCCAAATTTCACTATTTGAAGTTCCAGTTGGATTTCAATTGTACATTCGATGACATAACTTCTCACAATCGTTCTACATTATAAAAACGAAATAATTTTATTGTTTCAGTCTTATGACCAATACCTGGCTGTAGATGAAATAGTAGCCCCCGGTCTTGACTGTCAGAGCACCATCTATGTAGGTAATCGTATCACTGATGAAAGTTACATTTAGGTGATGTCTGAGTCGGAGCGTGGGAACAGCATCTGAATGGCAACACAAGTCATGCATTTAGGGCTTGATCACAAACAATTAGTGAAGGCAAGTGAAGCACATACAACCCTAGCTTCTGAACACTACTCCCTACCAGTTACAATTCATGGTGAACAGGACAGAAATATGACCTTTCTTGTATTTTGACAGAGAGGTGATGGCATTTTAATTCGAATATTGGAATTGAAGATGAATTATTTGCTGACATATCTATTCCAAAGAAACTTACATGTTTAAATTTTAAATATATCAAACACAACTCAGACGTTAACACTGGAAGGAAACAAGGTGAGCGCCCCTGAAACCAGGACAAGAACATAATCACGTTTACCTTAAACGTAATGTACACATGAGAGGTTCACAGTCCCATTAATCGTACAGTACATCTACCTTATTACACACCTGTGTGGTTGTTATGGTAGGGGGACGGTGTGGTAGCCTAGTGGTTAAAGCGTTTGCTCGTCACGCCGAAGACCCGGGTTTGATTCCCGACATGGGTACAATGTGTGAAGCTTATTTTTGGTGTCCCCCGCAGTGATATTGCTGGAATATTGCTAAAGGCGGCGTAAAGCCATACTGAGTCAGTGTTATGGTAGAACCTACCTGTGTAGTTGAAGACAGGGTCAATGAGCAGATGAACAGCTGCCTTGTCCAAGTTAGACTTGTGTGTGTAGATGCTGGCGATGCTTGTGCGTATGTCCTCTGCTGTAAATACATACAAAGGTTCAGCGTTCTGTTCCTGGGGTTTCCTAAAGGCAAATGTAGTATTGGTGGAACCTGAAATACAACTGGGATATTATTGATTAAATCTCACCTCTACGGCCCTCTTCCCAAGTCGGCTGAAACATGCATTAGAATGAATTATTATAGTCCAGCGTACCCATTGCATGGTTTACATGGCATTGATCAGGAGATAGCAGTTTCATACACAGAGCTTAGCATTGTTTGGCAAATAATTTGAAGGGATCTTTCCTATATGTGCAATACAACCCTAAACACAGCGTGTACTTGTGAACATGGGTGACGGGTTTCTTCAGTTTAGATTCACAATACTTGTACTGATATATAGCAATATGAAGCCACAACGTGTACGGCTATAGACACCTATGTGAGGAAGAATTTCATTTTTTCCTCAATTGGATTAATTAATAACACTTTTTATATCAGGGTTTGAACACTTTTTCTTGTTTTGATGCTGGTTTCTGTGCACTGTGTAGATTCACCTACCGCTGCAGCAAGGATTGCTGTCTTGTTGATGGAGAACGTGCACGTGGTCTGTGTGTCAGCTGTATTGGACACCAGGCCAACAAGAACCATCATCAAAATGACGTTCAAGGTCAACACAGTGATTCCACAAATGACGCTGTTCATTACTGTCTACATCCGTTATCTGAAACAAAGACAGCAATGTTGACTTAACCGTTTCACAACCAATTGAGGTTGTTGCGATTGGATAAGTCTTAAGATCTTATTGACACAAAATTACAAAACAATTCAACGAAAGCCTAATCTTGATTATTGAATGATTCCATATATAATTGGGCAGTAAACACATACTTTTTTATGCAAATTATGAGAATTGCGATTGCCTACTGTATGGCAGGACATGTTTTGAGCCACAGGGATTGCTGTTTTCTTGCCAACTCCGTAAGTCGCCGCAAGAGAATCACCACCAGTTAGAGTAGTTTCCTTCACGTCAATGCATGGAGGACATTGGATTGGTGGCTGCATTGTTATAGAGGCCTGGAGCTTCTCGCTCGAGCAGAAGAATAGTAGTAAAGCAAACACGTAGGTGTCATCATACACTACACATCACACACCACACATCACACACCACACATCACACACCACACACCACACACCACACACCACACAAACTCGTTATTCTGGATCTTCTTTTCCAAGTTGGATGGCATGTTAAGTAATGACTTCTTCCACTTCTTTGAGAGTGTTTGGGCAAGTTCCAGACGGGGCATTGCGAACACCTGGGTGGGTGCTGCCTTGTCTTCACATTCTGTAGGATCTGCTCGCAAATTAGCTCAGCTGTTTCTTGTTTGAAGACAGGGTTGGTGGACATGGGTTGTTGTTTCTCGAGCGGACCTAGTGGACATCAGCTCCAAGCAACAGCACAGATATCCAGATCTTGAAACCGGATATCAACGTTTCGACAGTTCCATGAGCATGTTAGTCAATTGTCCAAAGAACATCCGACACATTCATCATGATAGCTGTTGGGCTTATGGTCAAGCGTTGTGACATTTCCACCTGGATATTCTTCTTGTGGACTTTCCGGTAGCGATTTGCATCAGCATGAACAATGATGTTGGATAAACAGTCAGCTTCGTGGCCAGTACTTGCTGTGCAGATCGAGGATTACATGAGTGTTGATTGCCTCTTTGTCGTGACTATGACACGTTTCCTCCTTGCGGCGAAGGTGACAACTTGTTTTGAGAGTGTGCTGTCAAAGCCTTCTTGACATCGACATTCTTGTCTCGAACGTTGACATTTGGTTGAGCTAATTCTCCATGAGATATGCTGAGCAGACATCTTGAAACAAGGGAAACCGGATTCATTGGGTAAGTGCGCCACTTCTCCTTTTGTGTCGTTTGCACATTCTCTTCTTGAGGTCACCAGTGAGGTTCATGATCGCATCCATACTGTTCACCTATGTCGCCTTCGTTTAAGGGCTTTCTGTGGTTCCAATAATGCCACAGATTATCTGGTCAATACCTCATCCAATTCGTATCGATGACTATGTTATTCCACTGTCCATTGACGTGGCCAGAATTGTGGTGCTGCGAGTGCTTCTTGGCAGAACCTGTCCATAATCTGTTGCCCAAGCCAGGTCGTGGAACAAACATGGTAGCGTCCATATCTGCCATAGTTGTAGTTGTGTGTGGCAAATCTTGGAATAATGGCATCAAGATTGCTACAAAATGTTAACATAACTTCAACATCGCATTCCCCGCCCTCGAACACATATCTTTAGATGCCAAAACCATCACCCCACTGTTCTTAGAACAGAAGTTATGAGGAAACATAGATGTTCATCCTGAGGGCCGCCGTTGTGAATTCTGTAAAAGCCAAGTGGGTGGTCAGTGACCTCCCAGCCAAAATTCACCTAGACTCCAAATTTTATCGAAAAGTGGGGCACATGACTGTAAACAGTCACAACAAGCTTTTCACGAATACACTGGTCCTCCAGCCGAACTATTTCCTGGAGTCATCATTGATTTTCAGTGATCAAATCACTTCATTTTCACGCTATTGTGCTTTGAACACCCAATGGAATCTGTTTTGTCTCATAATCAATAATGGTTATTCTCTGCCTTGTTAAATATTTAAAATAACAGGGTACGTAATTCAGGTTTAAACCATGAATTTGTATCTTCCATCATATTCATTATCTTCCATTTGACAGTGATTGATTTCAACCCGACAGACTGAGACATTACCATGACACCAGGCTGTGTGCTGTGTTGGCCACTCTGTGTGTTTCTCTCCTGCACCGCGATGAGGTCCAGCACTGGCAGAAGGTGATGGAGCCTGGCGGATACAGAGAGACAGCTTCATCAACTACTGTACAAGTCAAAGCAATAGGTACTGTCCGAATGGCAACAGATATCAAACCACTTAACCAGTAAGGATACAGAGGTTTTGTGCTTGACCATTACTCAACTTACATGTCCAACTCATAATATTGTCCGTCAGCAATTAAATCAAACAAAGCATTATTGCATATTGCTGGCAGCACGTTGGTTACTCTTATAAATCCCTATAAGTGCGATAGCTTTGTGTTTATTTTACATGTGGCCCACATGACCTTGCACAAAGCTATACATACATGTAAATACAAATTTCAATTGTCCATCTCATATCCTGTCTCCATTACCTAAGTACTGTCAAATGTATGACGCTTACCTCACACAATATGTGTCTTGTCATGTGTAGCGTGTGTTAGATCTTTAATTAAATACCACTCCAGCGTGTTAGGAATACGTTCGTCTTGGTTGTATAAAACATTTGTTCTATATTGCGCTAGTTTCTAAAGTTGGAACATGTCTTATTCCCCATATAACCCCTCCCTAGAGGAATACAATCATATAATAACACGCGAAATATGATGTGAAATAGTTTATCTCATTTCGTGGAGTGGTAACGATTCATATTTAGCCACACCAGACAGTTCTTAAAAAAGAAGAATCTGTTACAGAAAATACTGGCAAAACGACAAAAGAAAAAATAACAAACAAAGAAACAAGCCAGGTCTGAAAAATAATGTGGTGTGTGTCCTTCTTTCTGTGAAACGTATTAAATTTTTTGACGCGGACCGTTCAGTGATCATGTTGAGCGACTGCTTTCACTTCTAGGCAGGCTACCATCGGCCATGTCCTTTACATTGTCAAGTTGTATTGCATGTCATTCATATAGAACTTCTGAAAAGAACGAGAACGGATGTGTTTAAATGTCAACGTCGGCGTACGTCAGGCTGTTGTTGATTCCATTTTTGCTTTCCTTATTAAATATTTATAAATGACAAAATAGAAAATTCCTGTTATCAGGGTATTCAGTTGCCTCATGGTTTATCCCATCTGTTTCGCTTGTAATTTGCCGAGGATTTGGTTGTAATTTCTGATAATGTACCAGGTCTTCAAAGACGCATCAATCTATTTCAAGAATGTTATAATGAATATAGTGTTAATCTAGATAACTGTAAAATTGTTGTCTTTAATATTGGCGATGCCCTTTCTAAATGGGACAAGTGGTATTTTACAAACATTACCATTGAATGTGTTACATCTTATTAATATTTACTCACAACCATGTAAACAAATGTGTCTTGGAATAAGCACTTTCATAATGTTCTTTTGCAATCCAAAAGGGCATTATTTGTTTTTTAACCTTTAGTCTGCTGAATTATATTCACACTTATTACCCCTGCCTGCTGGATTAATTTTAGCATGAGGGTGGGTGATTTCAAACAGTCGGTGCCTCATTAAACAAGTGCCAATTAAAGACATTTTTTGCAAACTATTGTAGAAAACTACACAGTACTATATAAAAATATCCTGGTCATACCATGGTTAAGACCAGAGCGAACACAAAATTTGTAAATCTTCTTGAACTTACCTGAATTGCGTTATTGAAGGTGGTTTGCATTTTCTTTTTTTAATATCGCAACATTTGTGCAAATTGATTTCAATAATCATATCTCCGAAATCTTAATTTTAACTGAGTAAAGGTTCAGTTTTTTTTAATCGGCAAATAACAGCGCGATGGTAAATTATGAACAATTTCAGTAAATTTATTATCTAAACGTTAAACAGAAAATAACTTAATTTTCGAGGTCATCATGTCGGTTGCAGAAATGCGAACATTCGGGTTAGTCTGACGTGTCATGTAATAAAATATGCAGGAAACAATAAATGCCTTATAAATATTCATTAATACTAATTTCAAGCGTTCTGGTTGAAGATATACAATAATAAACAACCCGTGTCATGATGCTAGCAGACGTCCTAAAATCAAACATGGCGTATCGCCCGACCTCTGAATAACGTTTGGCTATTTAAATATCAACAAAGTTTACATTGCCTTTATAAATATGCCTTGGCGAAAGTTGACGATCTTCTCAATCGACGGATGTTTTATTTGTCATTTTCCAATTATTATGACGAAAGAAACACGAAAATAAAGATCGTGAATTCTGATAGCAATATTTCAGTAAGTGCAAATGTCACCGGATGTGATGTCACAGACAGGGGTTGTCTCCTGATAATTTTAAGTACCAAAACAGTTACAGTAAATTTTGAAATATTATAATCACCAATAATATGAGCTAAATATGTGACTTTGACGATATAATTGGCGTATTATTTAATCCGTTTGACCTTGCATGCTCCCGTGACCCGGAAACGGTGGATGATAAATCAACATGCCACATGCAAGTTTCTCGGTATCTTTTATTTGAACTTTTGTTGATATTTAAGAATCACCATTCAATGTTAAGGTGAACTGAATGGGTATGATTCATATTTCTGCGATGTACACGCTGATAAGTTTTACTATTATAAGTGTATCCCACGCAATACGTCTATGGATATCGTCGGTCAGCAAGACCACCCTCTACAACAGGTGCGCGAAAATGGGCTTGACAAAACGTGTTTCAAAATAACATCCCCACGTTGCTGAATATGATAGGGTATATATAAGCAATAAAATGCTACATACATATTTTCGGTGTTAGTTCCACATTACATTTGGGACAGTTTTCCTTATAATAAATTCATAGATTCTAGCATGATTTTTAGAACAATTTCACGAAGCATTTCTAAATACATTCCAAAAGTATGAAGACCGCAATGATTGCGTATTGATGATAGATTTGTAATTGTTTAATTATTTACAGCTGTTTACAGGTTTTAAAATTTTATGGTATATATTTTTATATTTAGTAGTTATTTTCCACAATGATTGTGTGTATGGACACGACATATTGGTCAATGCATCAGCACAGTGTTACTGATCAAACTTCAATTAAAGATATTTTATTCTACAATTATTATCTTTCACTCTGAACATGAATTATGTGAATAGGTAACTATTTGATATCATTTCATTTTAGTATTCCATAAATTATGAATAAATTGATCAGATCCTTAACATATACACACTAAACACATATGGACATTCATCTTGTGCAGTAAGTGGTTTGTTTCCAAATAAAACAATTCTAAATATATTTGTAATAGGAATATGATACATTACTTACTTGTAACAGCACATGAAATTTTTGTTTGTTTAATCACAAGAACCATGGTGGCACATAAGCTGGTGAGTTAGCAATATGTTTCTAAGAAAATGCTATCTCAGTCTTCTGGTTGGAGTGAAAAGAAACATGCCTGTATACATGTTTACCCTTGCCAGATGTATGTTTCTGGTCAGCCACGCCCCATGACTTTAGTACACGTTATGTGGTCTATTTTGCATATACAGGTACTGCTGCAAACCTGTTTTTCCTTTGTATGCAATCACAGTATCACTACTTCCTCAGCTGGTGTGTATAAAAGTTCCCCTGTCATCATGAAACAAGAATTATAAAGGAAAGTCATTTACAATTAAAAACATATCTGTCTTTCCGTGAATACTCTTTGTCTTAGTGCCAGAAATTGTCAGTGTCATAAAAACTTTCAAAATAATTTTCATAAGGATTTTTCTCAGATAGACCTAAGTTAAACCATGTGACAAGGAAGGTAGAATTATAACTTTAAAAGCCCTCATTTCTGAGGTGTTCATATTTTTCACATTCTTATATATTTTAAGGACAAAATGTGAGAATGTAGATCTGCCATAAAACAAATTATTGTCTTAAAATGAGAAAAGGAATCATTCCGACGCAAATTCTTACCCATTGATTCACGAAAACCAGTTAAAATGTACAGTTGATCTAGTGACTTTTGTACCTATGATTTCTAGTGATTTGGTACCCAAATGGGTATGTGATTTTGTAGATCTACCTAGAATCATTTCAGAGATATACATTAATTTTAGTGTCTGAAACTTAACATAATATCGCTTTCCTATCACAACACATTCTAACTTAGGTTTAACCAACTTTACTGGCCTCTTCTTCAGTGACAAGACGTCAATTTTCTCTCAAAACTAAACAATCAATTTCAAGGATCACAGTCATAATCATATTATGAACTTGATGAAATATTTTATTGTGTGTTCTGTTCATCTACATGAAAACATAAATATAATTATAGATCTATTGTCTTACTTTCTTAGGTACAAATTCACAAAGTATTTTGGGTACATTTTAATTTGTTTTGGGTACAACATAACATAAAGGAGCCTAGAATCTAGATCTATATATATTTACACCACCTCCATACAGTCGTCGTGTACCAATATTTTAATCGGTTCAGAGGACTGGAGGTTCTCAGAAAGTTTTCAACAACATCTTTAATATTCTAAATTGTTCTTTTTGTAATGTACAACCGATAACAATATTATGTTGTTATTATTATGGCATATCAATACGTAATATCGCTCTCCGTTGCGTTCGTTTTCAGAAAATAATTTTAAATTAAAATCATCGATCGTGAAATCAATTACCGTTTCGGATTTAGACTGACACATTTGATGGCGGCAATCACGAAGAAATATGAAACCAACAGGGCTGAGGACTGCTCTCCAGATAAATAAATAGTAAATAGTTGACGAAAAATAGTAAAGTATGTATTTTCTATTGAATTTAAATCAATTTCGGAATTTCTTTATGATAGCTTACCAACGTTTTCATGTTTTGCTTCCATGTGTCACATGCGGTACGTGCTTCTGGTTTCAGAAATGATAGCTAAAATTGCAAGTATTTTGATTATTTCTCGTAAACTGCACTATTTACCGAAAACGTGTAAAACGAACAACGGATATAACGAACTGATTTCTCTGGTCCCTTGTAGTTCGTTATATCCGTGTTCTACTGTACGTCAAAACGTTAGCAACGCCTTACACGTGGAATTACATAATTAACCCATCTAAAAACTTTCTATCAATAAACATTGGCTTGAGAGCTTTACAAAGGATGAATTTTAATGTTAAATTTATGATGGTTTGACACTTTCGTATTCAAACCGTCACAATATCTAGAATTAGCCTTGGGGAATTAGCTCGGGATCGGGCACCACCTTCAAAGAAACCAAACAAAGTGTCTATGGCCAGCTCCTTTATTGGGGATTTCTCGACAGTCTGTCACATTTAAAATAAGAAATATTTTTACATATAAAGTACAAAGTCATATAGAACATTTACAGTTTCCATAAAAGAAGCAGTTATCACAATAGTGCGTGATATTAAACAATGATTATACATAAGAGTGTAAATGTCATGATATACCAATGTATCATGGGCTAAGTGATAAAACAACCAATTACAAATAACACTGTTAAAGTAAGTCTACAAAGATACCTGTGAACAAAGCTTCCATGTTCTTATGTGATACTTATTTTCAGCCACTCCTAATTATGATTACGCCTTGCTAAATGGGAGTGCCATAAGATATGTCTTATTTACGTATAAACCTAGTTAAACTCAATATCGGTATCGCATGTACGCAGATTTAAATATAAATGACAATATGTGTTGGCTGTACTCCTGAGCATATATCATTCATTGTCTTATGCTGGTATATGTTATACTTGAAGGCCATATCTATAATTCATCTAAACTACCGCAGCAAACAAACTATATCTGATAGCTTCCACATACACTGAGTTAACGGGCCCATTAACGAATGTCCATTCACATTACTGAATGGTATAATATATGGATATATGTACATTGTAGGCATTGCTCGTAATGTAGACATGTTTGCTGAAGCTGTGTTACAAATGCATTATGCTCAGACCTATGTAAGTACAAGAGAGTTACCTATCTTTTTTGGTACATCGCTAACAGATTAACTAAATGATTACATGGATATTATTACTGATTTTAGCTCTGGCTTAGTTGTGCTATTAGCATAAATATGTGTGATGTGAATACATCATATATTAGCTACAGAAATTAACGTTTTCTGCCAGGCTAGATCCATCAAATAACTCATATAAAAAATATTTAAAACAGTCTGGATTCTGTTTATGAACAAGTAATACATGCAATGTATGGTTCATCATAGAATCCTTACATTAAAAGATAATGTACATACCTCGTGTGACATAAAAGGTCTGATCAAAGTGAAATAGTTCGTCTGCATTTACGCGACATTTTCACATATACAAAATAACTGAATCACACTAAAATATCAACACGCAGATAAAATACACAGCTTGCTACCACGACACCCGAATGTTAACATCTTATTTCCGACTCGGAACATGTTTGATATTCAATATATGCTATACTGTGGAGTTAATACTTAAACGATAGTTTTGTCTAAACCTAACGCACGTACATTTGACAGATAAGTCCGTTAAATAGATACAACTCACTTAATATATTTGCACTTATACACGGTCGGAAATCCCCAATAAAGGAGCTGGCCATAGACACTTTGTTTGGTTTCTTTGAAGGTAAGTCATGTTCACCTTACTATTTCTCTAAAGTTATAAGTTAAATTGTTTTATAATTTGTATCGTATATGGAGCAATATTGCCAGCGGTAAAGGTGTTTAATCTTATGTTATTGACCGTGTATAAGTGCAAATATATTAAGTGAGTTGTATCTATTTTAATCTTATGTAAGATTAAACACCTTTACCGCTGGCAATATTGCTCCATATACGATACAAATTATAAAACAATTTAACTTATAACTTTAGAGAAATAGTAAGGTGAACATGACTTACCTTCAAAGAAACCAAACAAAGTGTCTATGGCCAGCTCCTTTATTGGGGATTTCTCGACAGTGAGGTACCCCCGGGGCTAGCCAGTATATATACTCTAGACACCCTGAATGGTCACGAATTTACTGCATGTTCAATTATCAGCTTGATAAGAAAATTTGAGTTCGTGCGCCGAGAATAGGGATTAAGGCTTGCCTAAGAAGTTTGACCAAGTGATGTCCACATAAGTTGAATAATAATTGATGAAGTAGTCCGAAAATATTGATATGAGTTGGATGTATCAGCAAACGTGTGACAAGCGCTCATTGCGATAGAGCCTGAGACACGTACAGATAGATAATACTGACCATGCTCCAAGGATGTTATGTAATTTTCTAGATAGCTGCGACCTCCACATGTGAGACTGATTGAATACAGCACCTTACATTTAACTTAATATAACACAATAAAGACTATTACCACAGTTAACTATTATATAAATATTGAGGAAAACATGACCAATTTTACAACTATGACAAATTGATACAAATGACATGCAGGAACTGAAATCACTTGCTACCACTGGGCGCCATATTTGGTCCACATTGTGTGACATACATCTTCAACTGTCGTGACAAGTAAAGCTGTCGTAAATACTCATACCTTAATTTTGAGAATTCATCTTGATTGTAGAGTACACAGCCCTCCAACACTTGGCTTGTTTCTGTTTGGTGTGTCCGCCATACTCGACAACCAATCAACCAATCACACGTAAGTACGTACGTGTCAAGCTGTTAGAGGATAATATACTGGCATTATTTTATATTATGTTTCAGGAAGTATGCTATGTAAATTTGTGTGTTTTTCCTCGAACGCTAATGCATAGCTTTCCCTGTGTTTCACGATTTCTGAGTGCAAATATGTCACGCGCACGCACACACACACACACACACACACACACACACACACACACACAGGGTGGCAGTTGCTATTCACAAATACATGTAGTTTTTTTTAGCATGAACGTGATGATCTATTTGTGGAAATTTGCCAACACAACCTGGATTCACCCGGATGTATGACACAATACCGCCATGTTTAGCTGAACACTTGCCAGATTATATGACACACGAAAGCGTGAGGGACTTTTGTGAGCGATGGTCGTGGGATCCCAACTCTGTTAAGTGTGTGTTTTACTTCATTGTGGTAATTAATACATGTAATCATGTTTTATCAACTTTTTCCAGATATAGAACATAAACATATACGTAGGCTGTCGACAGATCGATGTTTTCATGCTCAGGGGTTTTGGGTGTTAAAGACATATTGATTTTGAGGTATCGTATTGAATTAGAAACCTGTTTTTCAGTTTACTTGGATCAATCAGAATAAAGCATCCATCAGTGTCATGGTAAAATTTACTTATTTATTGACACTTTTGACTCATTTAGAGCGTGGGTATGAGATGTGTAATAAACTTAGTATTGAACTCGAATTCCACATACCATTCTGGATCTGTTTCCCTGATTGGTCACTTGTTGTGGTATCCGTCGAAGTAAGTGCAGCTTCAAGTTTGTCTTTGTTTAATCCCCTGTGCTGCATTGCGGTCGGCATCAGATCCTTTAAAACGGCGTCGAAGGGATCGAAAATGTTTAGTCGTTCTTCGTACTACTGTATCATAATCACCGCTTTCACGTATCTGCTGGGACCCCATAGGCCACAACAAATGCGCTCCTCTGAATATTAAGTTGGAAGTCATGTCTTTAGGATACTCAAAGACACAAGTGTGCCTGAATACTGACAAGAACATAGTATTATATCACACACCTTTGACATGATTGTGAAAACCAAGCTGCACCTGATGCTGGAAAATAAGGCCGATCCGAAAAAAACATCGCCGAGCTTTCGGATCGGATCTGCGGGCAGGCCCGTAACAAATCAGGTCGATTCCTGAGGAAAGCTTAGCGCGGACTTCCCGGTGAGTCACCAGCGTACACAATGAGCTGGAGTGTTGCATGAGTGACGTGACCAGGACACAGAAACATGCTATGTTGAGACATTATCTGGCTGCCGTTCACTACATAATACCAAGCTCGTAAATTACATCCTGTTCGTTTCGAACAAAAACTTTCTCCTTGTAGAGTATTTGAATAGATTCATTTAATTAATTCATAAATGGTGTATAACGTGAAGTATAATTCATAAGATTTCTTGGAACGTTTATCTTGATCAAAGCTTGTAACTATATATTCGTGACATAATACATGCAATGTGGGTATTTATGACCTGGCTATATGACCTGGCTATATGACGCCAACACAACCATGTACAGCTCCATTGCTAATCCAGCTCGCACAATCCTGTACTGTCGTCACAACGAGATCTATGTTTCCATTGCGGCCGGACTGTATGGTAACTAGAACGGGTTGAAAATTGAATCACATGTCCTACGCGGATAAATGCATTGTGCAACGATGTGTGACAATGTGAGAGTAAACAAATGTTCACAGCATACATGAGTCATTGTATTTCTATGGTTACATACACTGTTTCACATTCAACGCGACACATTACTTGCTATAAATAACAACAAAGTCCATGACGTTCGATATCGCGGTGTTGACACTACAGAATATACCCGTTCTGACTCGCGCACCGTCATCACCTAAACCGTCTTTACCTCGTTGGTTGACCTCCATATTCCGGTGCAGGCCAATACCTACATCTGGATTACCCAGGAGCTGTAAGTCACAAGTGATTTATATAACATTTATTCCTTTACTGTGAATGTGGCAGGAATATAAGACATGTATAGCCGTTACACTGTGAGAATACTCAAGTAAACTTCACCAACTATTGTCATTACGTACTGATCATATACGGCAAGGGGGGGGGGGGGGGGGGGGGGGGGGGGGGGGGGATGGGCTGTGATTCTGGTCTCGTCGGCTGGAAACTGACCACGGCCCGTCCCCCTGTGTGTGAGGCTGTCTCGGCAAGGTGACAAGGCACACGGGGTGCTGATGGTGGGTCTTCTATCTCCGTCCACGATTCAGTGGAAACTCTATTTCCCTCTATTGAATGATCATTATATAGTTTGCAAAATACGTGTCTTTATAAAGAAACGGTTAATACCAAAATTCGATTCCCGACAGAATTTTCAGGTTCACAATATCTATATGAAAACGGTTCCTTACATTTGGGCGCGACCGTGGCGGATACTGATTTTTGTTTATAACGATTTTGTGACAAACCACTGGTAGTTGAGGTAAGCGTTAATTTCCTGTGGTCATTTTACGAACTGCGGACGATTTCACTCACTGTTACCTCTATCATCTGATGTTTCTGCCAATATATTGTGCTGAATGTTTATTGTTTCTTGCTTCTTAAAACCCGTTAAATCAATACATGGTAAGGAAACATGATTCATTATGACATGAAATTTATATAATCACATTATTAGAAATTTGCTAAATGCTAATATTTCATGAATAGTTTTAGTTTTTATTGAAATCGTCACAAAATTGATCTTGCTCACGTCGGCTTTGTTACCTTGATGGTGTTAAATGTTGTTTAGATTTTGTCTTTACTAACCATTAGTATTTCAGATAAGCGTTTATTTCCTGTGCCATATATTAGTTAATGTTTTTCAGACCTGTTAAATGAATCAAACTTTAAATCAAGTTAACATTATTCTCACAGCATGTGTCATTTAAACAATGGCATTTTCAGAAAATTGCTAAATATATAGTACAATAAATACTTTAGTTTTTGACGAATTTATCACAGAATTGATGATATTGATTTCTTGAAGAAGTTGTATGCGGATTGTATGTACGTGCTGGCACGCCATTATGTGATCTTGTATTCACACCGTGAATTTCTGGAATGCCCATTGAGTCGTTAAATGTTGTTCACCACATTTCCTTTGTACTTGGTCAGTGTACCGTTGTTTTGTCCACCTTCGTGTAACGCATGCACAATGCCCATACACGCTCACAAGTGTTACTGATCATTGCCAGAGAAATATATTTCATTTTGGCATCGCATTTGATCTTTTCCCCATTTCTCGTTTGTGGATCTAAAATACTGTTAATTGATCTGCCTGGCTGTCCATGCCTCGCTGTCTCGAATGACCGGATATCTCGAGTTACACCACGGCTCCTGCAACACTGGCCTTCTGTCGTGCACCTGTCGTGGACAGTTGCAAAGACTGCAAGAAATTTGTTTCTGTATGTTGACAACTTTTGATCACATAATTCTGGAAAGAATTATCAAAGATTGAATAAATATGATCTAGAAATATACCCAGTAATTAAATATATATAATTAGATAAAATAATGAATTGTTGAAGTTTGATTCATAATATGCAATAAACTTGTGTCACGATTGAGCATTTCGAGAATATTTTAAACAGATTAAAGGAGCGTAATTTGTATATAATAAGAGCATTTTCATGTAAATATATCTTGTTAAGTTGAACGTATGTGAACTATGCTAGCAATAGATTTTGTCTGTTTTAAATATTTATGGATTTTGAATGGTAAATAATATCGACTTTCCTCTTCGACTTTCGATGTCGTTGAGTACATATCATAATCTAAAGAATTCTCAGGGGTGGAAATTTCGATGGATGGACATTAGTTGATGAGTTTGTCATGGGCATTATGACATATGTGACATCGACAGTGTTGGTTGTGGGTTCAGTGAAATATGTTCCAGAACATGACATGTTATTTTGCTCGTGTTAAATCGGTGTCGACAGAAACTGACAGGGTTACTAATCAATACAAATCATGATGGCAAATAGCTACATGACCACACCCAATCTATGCTGCAGTCTATGAATAACTAGATCAAACATCCTGGGTATTGCACTGTTAAGTCCATAACCCCGCTACTCCGAACACTGGAATCGGTCGAATTAGCACGTGTCCAGATTAACTTGTCAGAGTTACACATCGCCTACTGTTCTTTTTTATGTGCAGAGTGTCCGGACTAAGGAGGGTTGCCTCTATATTCACACGTGTTTGTTTGATTGTCGTCACTTCCGTCTCGCTCGTAGTCGTGCAACCCAAAAATACTTGGTTTAATGCACGACTTGTTCGCGTTCCCCATTGTATTGTACGTTGAGTGCATTAGAACATGGTCCCCAGCCAGATACAAACTTGTGTTACCTCCAGCTTACGGTTACCTTGATTGCTGGTAACATTTCCGAGCTTGGTGTTTAAGAAGATGGCCAGACAGGTATAATGTTTGTGTTTATTCAATATAGTAATGAACTCTTCACAACAGTGGAAGGTTAAAAACTAAACTGACGTCCAAAAGAAACTTTACCAACTGAAAATATATATTTCAGACATTTTTCAGTATATTTTGTTTCGATGAAGTCTATCTAAAACACATAACCAACAGTAGTGTTTGCAGAAAATGTTAATCGTTTGTTGCATGTTTGCGAGATAACACGCGAAAAAGTGAAAAACACGTGCACCACGGACAACTGCAAATGCACGTACGGGTAAGGGTATAAAACGATTGCAAAGGCAAGTCAGACATCCACAGTGATAAAAAAAACACAAAAGAAATTCCACGACGAACAGTCGAACAACGTGAACGAGCCTTGGGTATGGTACAGATGGGAGCCACCCACGCCCATATTGAACGAATCTTCGGTTGCTCCCGTGTTGCCGTTACCAACTTGATGCAACGTCACAAACAGACAGGGCGGGCCGCTGACAGGCCAAGAACAGGCAGACCCAGGGTGACCACGCCCCATGATGACCGGTACTTGCGTACCTTGCACCTCGGAAATCGCTTCCTGACAGTGACGTCATCGGCGACAAATTCCTTAGGTCACAGGGTTAGTCGACAGACAGTGGCCAGGAGACTCAGGGCTCATGGAATCTTGGCTTTTAGACCATACAGAGGACAGCTATTGCCAGCGTAACAGCTAGAGCCCATACAGCCCATTGTCACTAACTTCCTCGCAGCCAACAACGTCAACGTCCTGCCGTGGCCTGCACGCTCACCGGATATGTCCCCCATAGAACACCTCTGGGACTTGATTGATCGTCGTGTTCGACAACGACCACACTATCCAGCCAACCGGCAAGAACTGATCTTGGCCCTCCAAGAAGAATGGCGTCAAATCCCACGTGACCACATCAGACGACTGGCTTTTTCTGTACGTCGAAGAGTTGTTGCGTGTATTGAGGCATTTGGTAGTCACACACGCTACTAATGACTTGTTATTGAACGTGAGCGATTGTTTATGTACTCTGCCTATTGTCCATGATTCTGAAAGCTCGAGTTTTGTACCACACCCAACTTTAGGGGCTCTGACGTCATTCTCGTTCGCGGTATGATAGTCATTGTTAGTGTTGATTATGTTGATATATTGATCTTCTCAATACACTTTACTTCATGCATGTATGTTTTGTTGTTTTCGAGCAAGAGTGATTTCAAACTCTGCTAAAGTTTCTTTTGGACGTCAGTTTACAATGTTAAACATATACCGTAGCTCAATAACAATAATAACAAACCACTGTAGGTTATTGGATAACCCTTGGATAGGAAGGTTATATGAATGAATTAACATCGTCACACAACAGAGATGACCGCCCTGTGTGTTGTATCGCCATATCATCATGTTCAATGTTCTATGTCTTCGCACCTACTGACCCACGTCAATGCACCAGTGTTTGTCTCTGTATCTCTGGCTCCTGTGTAATGTTATCACACGACCTAAACAACACCTGTAAAGTGTAGCACACCACACTCATGGACACTCACATCATTCCTGACCCGTGAACATCCGAATTGGTCTCCAGCAGCCCATGCCTGCCCAGAGGCGACTAACGGGATCGGGTGGTCAGGCCTGCTGACTTGGTTGATGCATGTCATCGTATCCCAGTGAGTGAGTGAGTGAGTGAGTTGGGTTTAACGCCGCTTTTAACATTATTCCAGTTATATCACGGCGTGTCAGCTTAATGTGGGATGAGAGCCCGAAGTGTTGCAGGTCTCAACTAGAAACATAATCGGGGCGAACCGGGATTCGAACCCACAATCATAGGTTTCTGGCGTGCCCAAGGGACGCAACTCTGCAAAGCGAATCGCGGCGCCTTAGACCACTGGGTCTCCCGTGCCCCTTATCGTATCCCAATTGCTTAGATCGATGCATATCATGTCAATCACTGGATTGTCTGATTCAGACTCGATTATTTGCATACTGCCGTCATATGGCTGGAATATTGCTGAGTGCGGCGTGAACAGCATACAAACACATCACTCCTGTACAAAAACACAATTCAGAATGAAATGTTTAGGAAAGTGAATAGTTTTATTAGGTTCCTCTGTATACAACGTAAGGGGCGGGGCCATTGTTCGTTTCATTTGTGGAGGAGGCGAGGGATAACGTGGGATGAGTGTACACACAGAGTCTGGCATGGAACCCAGGGTGTGATGCTTCTGATGTCAATTGTCATATACAGCTTGTCTTCTGACCCAAAGTAGGACTTATAGCAATCACCGCTGGCAAACTAATAAATCCAGGAAATTGACCAGTTATAGGGCGAAAAGAGAAATATGTTGAACGAATGTAAGTTTAATGGCACCCTCAACATGTAGAGAGTGACGAATCATGCCCCACGAAATATTTAAGGTAGTCGAAATCCCAAGCGTCAAACCTTTCAAAAACTATTTCAATACGAGCGGAACAGACATAAATCCCTGTTGTATAATACCCGAGGATCCTGCATTGTTGTGTCGTTTGTACATAATTTTACCACTCAGAGTTGCTTAGGGAGATTCTCAGTGTCCAGGTGAGGACTGAATGTGATTTCAAGTTGATATTGACATTTTATAACCTGACCCCTACGTTACGTAAGTATTATCCAAAGTTGATGTGCACTGAACGATTTACTATTAAATGGCTGTTCTGTTGCCAGATACTCACAGATACCACAACATGCTCTGTTGCAGAGAGTAAGTTTAATCTGTCCCCTCGAATCTCACCAATACCTTACGTTATTGGTCTAGTGGTGGAGTGTCAGCCCGGACAAAACAAGGACTGATCGGCTCGGAGTCAGTATACTAGCACGCACGCACGCACGCACACACACTCACGCACGGCACGGCACGCACGCACGCACGCACGCACGCACTAACACACGTGCATGCAGGTCGTTCTAACTGCAATAATCTTGGACGCGACGTTAAACCCAATTTCACCTCACCTCTAAACCGCTAACATAAGATGAGAGGTTATTGCCCGCTGCATTCTAAATATAAACCCCCCACCCCCGCGTTAAGACACCATCTCTGCTTCGATTTTGTCTTATTAATCTATGGTGATAATAACGCTCTATATGCTTCGACTTGTGTGTAAGTTTTGACCCCAATAACACCGCTGAGCTACTAGTATACGTTTCATTGTAAAACGAGGCGTTCCTGATTCAGATGACAATGTATTAAGAAGTTAATAAACCCTTGATCTGGAGTGCGGACTAGACACCCACTGTAGGTTGATGACCCCCGCCACAGTGAAAATATGACACCTTATGAACCCGCATTTATTAACCCTGGCACTAGTTGATAGCCACCATCACCACCACCACCACCAACACCAACAACACCACCACCACCACTACCACCACTACCACTACAATTTTATTGATATGTCGGCACGGCACTAGTTGCTATCCAGATCCACCACGGGGAGGTTCCATGCCATGGATCCATGGTTACGCGAGAAATATTCCAAATGAACCCCCATGAGGAGAAAGGTCTATATTTCTGGGGACACTGGACATGACCTTGACCCTGGTGTTGGCCTCCAGGTAGAAGGTGGCCCCGAGGCTGCTGGTGGTGTAGGCGGGACGTCCCCGTCTGATGCTGGGGGTGGACTGTAGGTTCCTCATCAGGGGTGTTGGTGCTTCCTCCAGCTCTGACGCCTTCTGTTTCACCACTGCGTGAATGATCCGCCCATAGTCTAACTCCTGGGTTCCGCTGCCACTGTACACGATCTGTAGCAATCAAGACAATGGTATGAAACTATTGTGTAGATCTTATAAACAAATACAGTCAAACACCTATGGGTCGAAGTCTGACGTGTCGAACTTACGGTTGTGTCGAAGTAAAGGCTTGGTCCCTGCGTACTCCCGTGAAGATCCGGGGTAGAATAGGTCTTCAGCAACCCATGCTCGCCGTAAAAGGCGACTATGCTTGTCGTAAGAGGCGACTAACGGGGGTTTGGTGGTCAGGTTCGCTGACTTGATTGATGCATGTCATCCTATCCTAATCACTGGATTGTCTGGTCCAGACTCGATTATTTACAGACCGCCGTCATGAAGCTGGATTATTGCTAACTGCGGCGTTTAACAAAAAACCCAAATCAAACCAGCTATAATAATAATATTAATAATAATAATAATAATAATAATAATAATAATTATTATTTTTCATTTTCTGTCCATTTGTCATAATCCTATGGCAGTATGAAAGAAGCATGCTCCCAAAGATCGCGTGTGACATCCAACTCGGGATCATGTCACTAACATACACTGTAGATCAGCTTCACCCCATCGCCATTGAACCGTGGCCAGAACTACGTCCACTGTGTCACCTGATGGTCAGCAACATAATACATAACTAATGTAACTGTGTATCTACCTGAGAGTAGGTGAAGTAATACCCCCCTTGTGGGACGATAATAGCACCATCCTGATAAGTCATGCCGTTTTCCAAACATGTGCTTCCAGTTGTATTTTTCCAGTGTAAAGTCACATACGCATCTGGGGAGAATAAGAATAATTACAATGAAACATTAACGGAAGTCAAAAGTGATCATAGAACTAACAACTATGTTTTTCACTTAAAACAATAAATGTATTCAACTTATTGCGCTGTTGATGGTTAGACAGATGTGTCTCACCTGTGTACAGGTGTGTTGTGTTGATGGTCAGGTACATGTGTCTCACCTGTGTACAGGTGTGTTGTGTTGATGGCCAGGTACATATGTCTCACCTGTGTACAGGTGTGTTGTGTTGATGGTCAGGTACATGTGTCTCACCTGTGTACAGGTGTGTTGTGTTGATGGTCAGGTACATGTGTCTCACCTGTGTACAGGTGTGTTGTGTTGATGGTCAGGTAGATGTGTCTCACCTGTGTACAGGTGTGTTGTGTTGATGGTCAGGTACATGTGTCTCAGCTGTGTACAGGTGTGTTGTGTTGATGGCCAGTTAGATGTGTCTCACCTATTTACAGGTGTGTTGTGTTGATGGTCAGGTAGATGTATATCACCTGTGTACAGGTGTGTTGTGTTCATGGTCAGGTAGATGTGTCTCACCTGTGTACAGGTGTGTTGTGTTGATGGTCAGGTACATGTGTCTCAGCTGTGAACAGGTGTGTTGTGTTGATGGCCAGTTAGATGTGTCTCACCTGTTTTCAGGTGTGTTGTGTTGATGGCCAGGTACATATGTCTCACCTGTGTATAGGTGTGTTGTGTTGATGGTCAGGTACATATGTCTCACCTGTGTACAAGTGTGTTGTGTTGATGGTCACGTAGATGTGTCTCACCTGTGTACAGGTGTGTTGTGTTAATGGTCACGTAGATGTGTCTCACCTGTGTACAGGTGTGTTGTGTTGATGGTCAGGTACATGTGTCTCACCAATGTACAGGTGTGTTGTGTTGATGGTCAGGTACATATGTCTCACCTGTGTACAGGTGTGTTGTGTTGATGGTAAGGTACATGTGTCTCACCTGTGTACAAGTGTGTTGTGTTGATGGCCAGGTACATGTGTCTCAGCTATGTACAGGTGTGTTGTGTTGATGGTCAGGTACATGTGTCTCACCTGTGTACAGGTGTGTTGTGTTGATGGTCAGGTACATGTGTCTCACCTGTGTATAGGTGTGTTGTGTTGATGGTCAGGTACATATGTCTCACCTGTGTACAAGTGTGTTGTGTTGATGGTCACGTAGATGTGTCTCACCTGTGTACAGGTGTGTTGTGTTGATGGTCAGGTAGATGTGTCTCACCTGTGTACAGGTGTGTTGTGTTGATGGTCACGTAGATGTGTCTCACCTGTGTACAGGTGTGTTATGTTGATGGTCAGGTAGATGTATCTCACCTGTGTACAGGTGTGTTATGTTGATGCTTAGGTACATGTGTCTCACCTGTGTACAGGTGTGTTGTGTTGATGGTCAGATAGATGTATCTCACCTGTGTACAAGTGTGTTGTGTTGATGGCCAGGTACATATGTCTCACCTGTGTACAAGTGTGTTGTGTTGATGGTCACGTAGATGTGTCTCACCTGTGTACAGGTGTGTTGTGTTGATGGTCACGTAGATGTGTCTCACCTGTGTACAGGTGTGTTGTGTTGATGGTCACGTAGATGTGTCTCACCTGTGTACAGGTGTGTTGTGTCGATGGCCAGGTAGATGTGTCTCACCTGTGTACAGGTGTGTTGTGTTGATGGTCACGTAGATGTGTCTCACCTGTGTACAGGTGTGTTGTGTTGATGGTAAGGTACATGTGTCTCACCTGTGTACAAGTGTGTTGTGTTGATGGCCAGGTACATGTGTCTCAGCTATGTACAGGTGTGTTGTGTTGATGGTCAGGTACATGTGTCTCACCTGTGTACAGGTGTGTTGTGTTGATGGTCAGGTACAAGTGTCTCACCTGTGTACAAGTGTGTTGTGTTGATGGTCACGTAGATGTATCTCACCTGTGTACAGGTGTGTTGTGTTGATGGTCAGGTACATGTGTCTCACCTGTGTACAGGTGTGTTGTGTTTGATGGTCAGGTACATGTGTCTCACCTGTGTACAGGTGTGTTGTGTCGATGGCCAGGTAGATGTGTCTCACCAGTGTACAGGTGTGTTGTGTTGATGGTCAGGTACATATGTCTCACCTGTGTATAGGTGTGTTGTGTTGATGGTCAGGTACATGTGTCTCACCTGTGTATAGGTGTGTTATGTTGATGGTCAGGTACATATGTCTCACCTGTGTATAGGTGTGTTGTGTTGATGGTCAGGTACATGTGTCTCACCTGTGTATAGGTGTGTTGTGTTGATGGTCAGGTACATATGTCTCACCTGTGTATAGGTGTGTTATGTTGATGGTCAGGTAGATGTGTCTCACCTGTGTACAGGTGTGTTGTGTCGATGGCCAGGTAGATGTGTCTCACCAGTGTACAGGTGTGTTGTGTCGATGGTTAGGTACATATGTCTCACCTGTGTACAAGTGTGTTGTGTTGATGGTCACGTAGATGTGTCTCACCTGTGTACAGGTGTGTTGTGTTGATGGTCACGTAGATGTGTCTCACCTGTGTACAGGTGTGTTGTGTTGATGGTAAGGTAGATGTGTCTCACCTGTGTACAAGTGTGTTGTGTTGATGGCCAGGTACATGTGTCTCAGCTATGTACAGGTGTGTTGTGTTGATGGTGAGGTACATGTGTCTCACCTGTGTACAGGTGTGTTGTGTTGATGGTCAGGTACATATGTCTCACCTGTGTACAAGTGTGTTGTGTTGATGGTCACGTAGATGTGTCTCACCTGTGTACAGGTGTGTTGTGTTGATGGTCACGTAGATGTGTCTCACCTGTGTACAGGTGTGTTGTGTTGATGGTCACGTAGATGTGTCTCACCTGTGTACAAGTGTGTTGTGTTGATGGTCACGTAGATGTGTCTCACCTGTGTACAGGTGTGTTATGTTGATGGTCAGGTAGATGTATCTCACCTGTGTACAGGTGTGTTATGTTGATGCTTAGGTACATGTGTCTCACCTGTGTACAGGTGTGTTGTGTTGATGGTCAGATAGATGTATCTCACCTGTGTACAAGTGTGTTGTGTTGATGGCCAGGTACATATGTCTCACCTGTGTACAAGTGTGTTGTGTTGATGGTCACGTAGATGTGTCTCACCTGTGTACAGGTGTGTTGTGTTGATGGTCACGTAGATGTGTCTCACCTGTGTACAGGTGTGTTGTGTTGATGATCACGTAGATGTATCTCACCTGTGTACAGGGGTGTTGTGTCGATGGCCAGGTAGATGTGTCTCACCTGTGTACAGGTGTGTTGTGTTGATGGTCAGGTACATGTGTCTCACCTGTGTATAGGTGTGTTGTGTTGATGGTCAGGTACATATGTCTCACCTGTGTATAGGTGTGTTATGTTGATGGCCAGGTAGATGTGTCTCACCTGTGTACAGGTGTGTTCTGTCGATGGCCAGGTAGATGTGTCTCACCAGTGTACAGGTGTGTTGTGTTGATGGTCAGGTACATGTGTCTCACCTGTGTATAGGTGTGTTGTGTTGATGGTCAGATAGATGTATCTCATCTGTGTTCAAGTGTGTTGTGTTAATGGCCAGGTACATCTGTCTCACCTGTGTACAAGTGTGTTGTGTTGATGGTCACGTAGATGTGTCTCACCTGTGTACAGGTGTGTTGTGTTGATGGTCACGTAGATGTGTCTCACCTGTGTACAGGTGTGTTGTGTTGATGGTAAGGTACATGTGTCTCACCTGTGTACAAGTGTGTTGTGTTGATGGCCAGGTACATGTGTCTCAGCTATGTACAGGTGTGTTGTGTTGATGGTCAGGTACATGTGTCTCACCTGTGTACAGGTGTGTTGTGTTGATGGTCAGGTACAAGTGTCTCACCTGTGTACAAGTGTGTTGTGTTGATGGTCACGTAGATGTATCTCACCTGTGTACAGGTGTGTTGTGTTGATGGTCAGGTACATGTGTCTCACCTGTGTACAGGTGTGTTGTGTTTGATGGTCAGGTACATGTGTCTCACCTGTGTACAGGTGTGTTGTGTCGATGGCCAGGTAGATGTGTCTCACCAGTGTACAGGTGTGTTGTGTTGATGGTCAGGTACATATGTCTCACCTGTGTATAGGTGTGTTGTGTTGATGGTCAGGTACATGTGTCTCACCTGTGTATAGGTGTGTTATGTTGATGGTCAGGTACATATGTCTCACCTGTGTATAGGTGTGTTGTGTTGATGGTCAGGTACATGTGTCTCACCTGTGTATAGGTGTGTTGTGTTGATGGTCAGGTACATATGTCTCACCTGTGTATAGGTGTGTTATGTTGATGGTCAGGTAGATGTGTCTCACCTGTGTACAGGTGTGTTGTGTCGATGGCCAGGTAGATGTGTCTCACCAGTGTACAGGTGTGTTGTGTCGATGGTCAGGTACATGTGTCTCACCTGTGTATAGGTGTGTTGTGTTGATGGTCAGATAGATGTATCTCATCTGTGTTCAAGTGTGTTTAGTTAATGGCCAGGTACATATGTCTCACCTGTGTACAAGTTTGTTGTGTTGATGGTCACGTAGATTTGTCTCACCTGTGTACAGGTGTGTTGTGTTGATGGTCAGGTACATGTGTCTCACCTGTGTATAGGTGTGTTGTGTTGATGGTCAGGTACATGTGTCTCACCTGTGTACAGGTGTGTTGTGTTGATGGTCAGGTACAAGTGTCTCACCTGTGTACAAGTGTGTTGTGTTGATGATCAGGTACATGTATCTCACCTGTGTACAGGTGTTTTGTGTTGATGGTCAGGTACATGTGTCTCACCTGTGTACAGGCGTGTTGTGTTGATGCTTAGGTACATGTGTCTCACCTGTGAACAGGTGTGTTGTGTTGATGGTCAGGTAGATGTATCTCACCTGTGCACAGGTGTGTTGTGTTGATGGTCAGGTACATGTGTCTCACTTGTGTACAAGTTTGTTGTGTTGATGGTCAGATAGATGTATCTCACCTGTGTACAAGTGTGTTGTGTTGATGGCCAGGTACATATGTCTCACCTGTGTACAAGTGTGTTGTGTTGATGGTCAGGTACATGTTTCTCACCTGTGTGAAGGTGTGTTGTGTTGATGGTCAGGTACATGTGTCTCACCTGTGTATAGGTGTGTTGTGTTGATGGTCAGGTACATGTGTCTCATCTGTGTACAGGTGTGTTGTGTTGATGACCAGGTACATGTATCTCACCTGTGTACAAGTGTGTTGTGTTGATGGCCAGGTACATATGTCTCACCTGTGTACAAGTGTGTTGTGTTGATGGTCAGGTACATGTTTCTCACCTGTGTACAGGTGTGTTGTGTTGATGGTCAGGTACATGTGTCTCACCTGTGTACAGGTGTGTTGTGTTGGTGGTCACGTAGATGTGTCTCACCTGTGTACTGGTGTGTTGTGTTGATGGTCAGGTACATGTGTCTCACCTTTGTACAGGTGTGTTGTGTTCATGGTCAGGTAGATGTATCTCACCTTTGTACTGGTGTGTTGTGTTGATGCTTAGGTACATGTGTCTCACCTGTGTACAGGTGTGTTGTGTTGATGGTCAGGTAGATGTATCTCACCTGTGTACAGGTGTGTTGTGTTGATGGTCAGGTACATGTGTCTCACCTGTGTACAAGTCTGTTGTGTTGATGGTCAGGTACATGTTTCTCACCTGTGTACAGGTGTGTTGTGTTGATGGCCAGGTACATGTGTCTCACCTGTGTACAGGTGTGTTGTGTTGATGGTCAGGTACATTTGTCTCACCTGTGTACAGGTGTGTTGTGTTGATGCTTAGGTTCATGTTTCTCACCTGTGTACAGGTGTGTTGTGTTGATGGTCAGGTACATGTGTCTCACCTGTGTACAGGTGTGTTGTGTTGATGGTCAGGTACATTTGTCTCACCTGTGCACAGGTGTGTTGTGTTGATGGTCAGGTAGATGTGTCTCACCTGTGTACAAGTGTGTTGTGTTGATGGTCAGGTACATGTGTCTCACCTGTGTACAGGTGTGTTGTGTTGATTGTCAGGTACATGTGTCTCACCTTTGTACAGGTGTGTTGTGTTGATGGTCAGGTACATGTGTCTCACCTGTGTACAAGTGTGTTGTGTTGATGGCCAGGTACATGTATCTCAGCTGTGTACAGGTGTGTTGTGTTGATGGTCAGGTAGATGTGTCTCACCTGTGTACAGGTGTGCTGTGTTGATGGCCAGGTACATGTGTCTCACGTGTGGACAGGTGTGTTGTGTACATGGCCAGGTAGATGTGTCTCACCTGTGTACAGGTGTGTTGTGTTGATGGTCAGGTACATGTGTCTCACCTTTGTACAGGTGTGTTGTGTTGGTGGTCAGGTACATGTGTCTCACCTGTGTACAGGTGTGTTGTGTTGATGGTCAGATAGATGTATCTCACCTGTGTACTGGTGTGTTGTGTTGATGGTCAGGTACATGTGTCTCACCTGTGTACAGATGTGTTGTGTTGATGGTCAGATAGATGTATCTCACCTGTGTATAGGTGTGTTGTGTTGATGGTCAGGTACATGTGTCTCACCTGTGTACAGGTGTGTTGTGTTGATGGCCAGGTAGATGTATCTCACCTGTGTACAGGTGTGTTGTGTTGATGGTCACGTAGATGTGTCTCACCTGTGTACAGGTGTGTTGTGTCGATGGTCAGGTAGATGTATGTCACCTGTGTACTGGTGGGTTATGTTGATGGTCAGATAGATGTGTCTCACCTGTGTACAGGTGTGTTGTGTTGATGGCCAGGTACATATGTCTTACCTGTGTACAGGTGTGTTGTGTTGATGGTCAGGTAGATGTATCTCACCTGTGTACAGGTGTGTTGTGTTGATGGTCAGATAGATGTGTCTCACCTGTGTACAAGTGTGTTGTGTTGATGGTCAGATAGATGTATCTCACCTGTGTACAGGTATGTTGTGTCGATGGTCAGATATATGTGTCTCACCTGTGTACAGGTGTGTTGTGTCGATGGCCAGGTACATATGTCTTACCTGTGTACAGGTGTGTTGTGTCGATGGTCAGGTAGATGTATCTCACCTGTGTACAGGTGTGTTGTGTTGATGGTCACGTAGATGTGTCTCACCTGTGTACAGGTGTGTTGTGTCGATGGTCAGGTAGATGTATCTCACCTGTGTACAGGTGTTTTGTGTTGATGGTCAGGTAGATGTATCTTACCTGTGTACAGGTGTGTTGTGTCGATGGTCAGATAGATGTATTTCACCTGTGTACAGGTGTGTTGTGTTGATGGTCAGGTAGATGTATCTCACCTGTGTACTGGTGTGTTCTGTTGATGGCCAGGTGGGCCGCTGGTTTGGATGAGTTCATCTCCAGATAAGACAGGAAGCTTTGGATGCCTTGGAAATCTGACAACACCAGAAGGTTAAACATTATAATATCACGACGTTCTTTGTGAATGTGACGTATAAGCTGTACGTTAAGGAACATAAGTGCTTGGCTGCATGAAACCCACCATTTCTATGAGTGAGTGAGTGAGTGAGTGAGTTGGGTTTAACGCCGCTTTTAACAGTATTCCAGTTATATCGCGGCGTGTCAGCTTAATGTGGGAGGAAAGCCCGAAGTGATGCAGGTCTCAGACGTTTACCAATTCGGTGAAACCCACGAGCACGGGTATTGTGCTGACAAACCTAGAAACATAATCGGGGCGAACCGGGATTCGAACCCACAATCATAGGTTTCTGGCGTGCCAAAGGGACGCAACTCTGCACAGCGAATCGCGGCGCCTTAGACGACTGGGCCACCCGTGCCCCCCATTTCTATGAAGTGCTGATACCAGCATATACCGATAATTATCAATACACCTAACATGAATCTGGACGTGTTGGGACGTGTTGGGACGTGGTCCTTGTAAATGTATCACACTACGGAACCATGTGGGCGTGGCCGGAGATGGGTGACTCGTGACTGGTAATGTCCCAATCATGCACTACCATCCATGCTCCACCTTAATGCACGAGGCTGAGTCGCGATGGTCATGTGTATGTGAAGTTTGCCCAGCACTGTAACAAGGACTTACGTTATTGATACATTAGTAGAGGTCCGGATTGTGACAAGTGAATCCACGTCCAGACCATCCCGTCACATCTCTTCTTTACCAGTCACATGCATTGGCTTGAACATTGCAATTGCAATGAATCTTTTTTATTACAATACAACACCGTTATCAAGCAAGTGGTGTTAGAACCTACACCGAAACGTCGCAACTTATTGCAATAAAGTTGTTCATCCACACTTCGTATCCCTACTTAGCACTCCAACTTCTTAATGTCTCTCAAAGAAATGTAGTCTGCTATTAAAGGTTTCTTTTATAAGAAATATATAAAAATATGAAATATATATACGATATAAGTGAAGGTCGTTGATTTTTTGTTAAAAGGTTTACAATCTCCTGAAGCAAGCCCTATCACAACCGACCAGTGAAGATTCCGGGCTAGAATAGGTCTTCAGCAACCCATGTGTGCCGTAAAAGGCGACTAACGGGATCGGTTGATCAGGCATGCTGACTTGGTTGAAGCATGTCATCGATCCCAATTGCGTGGATCGATGCTCATGATATTAATCACTGGATTGTCTTGTCCAGACTCGATTATTTCCAGACCGCCGTCTTATAGCTGGAATATTGCTGAGTGCGGCGTTAAACAACAATCCAACCAACCAACCCTATCCCAACCTGTACACTGAGTAACTGTTCTGCCATGGAAGTACTGCCACGTCCTGGCCACCTGCTAGATGACCTGAGGCATGCGTGTACGCCCACAGCGAGCATTTACCGTTACAGATACACGACATATAATCACATGGCAACAATCAGTTATATGAGAGACTGTTGCATCATCTGATTACACAATCACAGGAGCAATCTAGTGCTTTTTGACACTTTCATTGTAACTGATCTCCCAGAAATGTCATTTTCATGTCCATACAAAAGCTTGCCTGCATGGACCCTACCATTTCTATGAAGTGCTGATACCAGCACTCTGTTTCCGTCGTCTGCTCGTTGAATTGAATTTTACTCAAGACAAGTGTACCGAGTTTTGCTAAATCCAGTCCCTTCTAGACTCAGATACAGCAAATAGAAATTATATTCAATTGGATCAAAAAGTGAAATCCCACTATAATCTACGTAACAAATGGAACTAGGATTGGTCAAAGAGAAATGTTTAATTGTCAGGTAAAGAGTTTATTTTATGTTGATCTCCAAGAAATGGATAATTTGATTTTTTGTGGATCATTTTTTTTAAATAGAAAAATAGAATCGTTGATCCATTCGAACTCTGACACCATAAGGCAGAAATATCGAGATAGTATTGAAATCTCTACTTCTACCAAAATGTAATCCCCTTTTCTCGTCCATGTCTAGACCTCCAGGTGATGTTATATAAAAGTTTCAGAGAAAATGTTTTCACTTTGCATGGAATCATGAAATGCCACGTCACTATCTCCTCAATATGAAAGTATTTAAATAACGATCTTAACAAACTGGGCAGAAAAAAAATCTAATACTTATCGATTATCTTTTAAAGGAAACTGTGACAGAAATACATTAAGGGATAAGTACTGATTTTCTATGATTCCAAGACATTAAAATGCTATTTGAGAAGACTGTTTGGAAAAGAATATAACACATTTTAGAAGGTAGAACCTCGGCTTATCCTTACCCATGAGTTAATTAGCTTCACAAAACATCGGACTGTTCTACTATCACAAAAAGTAGACAAGGAAAATCCCCCCTCCCCCCACCCACCCTCGCTCGTTGGTCAGGACCCGCGACATCAGTGTAACAACCACCAAAACAAAACATTCCGCGGTTTTGACTCTTGCGACATCGGAAACTTACCATATTTAGGTATCCTTAATAGTTCAGTACAATATTTGCAAATGGTGATTCTTCGACATTGAACAACAATAATTATCATTCACTGAAAATAGAGATCTGTTCCACCCTGATCAGATCTACTCACAAATATCTACCTTATTGACAAGCTCTTTTACTTATGTGTTTTCTCCGTCCTCCGGCCTCTATACCAATATTAGGGGAACTATCAGCTACAAGGAAACAGACTCTCATCCGCCAGCAGTGGTATCTATAGCAATATTAGGGGAACTATCAGCTACAAGGAAACAGACTCTCATCCGCAAGCAGTGGTGTCTATACCAATATTAGGGGAACTATCAGCTACAAGGAAACAGACTCTCATCCGCCAGCAGTGGTATCTATAGCAATATTAGGGGAACTATCAGCTACAAGGAAACAGACTCTCATCCGCCAGCAGTGGTGTCTATACCAATATTAGGGGAACTATCAGCTACAAGGAAACAGACTCTCATCCGCCAGCAGTGGTATCTATAGCAATATTAGGGGAACTATCAGCTACAAGGAAACAGACTCTCATCCGCCAGCAGTGGTGTCTATACCAATATTAGGGGAACTATCAGCTACAAGGAAACAGACTCTCATCCGCCAGCAGTGGTATCTATAGCAATATTAGGGGAACTATCAGCTACAAGGAAACAGACTCTCATCCGCCAGCAGTGGTATCTATAGCAATATTAGGGGAACTATCAGCTACAAGGAAACAGACTCTCATCCGCCAGCAGTGGTGTCTATACCAATATTAGGGGAACTATCAGCTACAAGGAAACAGACTCTCATCCGCCAGCAGTGGTATCTATAGCAATATTAGGGGAACTATCAGCTACAAGGAAACAGACTCTCATCCGCCAGCAGTGGTGTCTATACCAATATTAGGGGAACTATCAGCTACAAGGAAACAGACTCTCATCCGCCAGCAGTGGTATCTATAGCAATATTAGGGGAACTATCAGCTACAAGGAAACAGACTCTCATCCGCCAGCAGTGGTATCTATAGCAATATTAGGGGAACTATCAGCTACAAGGAAACAGACTCTCATCCGCCAGCAGTGGTATCTATAGCAATATTAGGGGAACTATCAGCTACAAGGAAACAGACTCTCATCCGCCAGCAGTGGTGTCTATACCAATATTAGGGGAACTATCAGCTACAAGGAAACAGACTCTCATCCGCCAGCAGTGGTAACTATAGCAATATTAGGGGAACTATCAGCTACAAGGAAACAGACTCTCATCCGCCAGCAGTGGTATCTATACCAATATTAGGGGAACTATCAGCTACAAGGAAACAGACTCTCATCCGCCAGCAGTGGTATCTATAGCAATATTAGGGGAACTATCAGCTACAAGGAAACAGACTCTCATCCGCCAGAAGTGGTATCTATACTTTGGGACATACTTGAAACTCTGGAGTAGACGCTATCTACTACACCGACATATTACCTGTACTGGAGTTGGTAGATCGCACACACTGCAAAGTAAAACAGCCGTGAGTCAGTGAGTGCGAATGAAAAATTGTTACATCTAGACGACTCAAAACAAAGGTCCTGATATTTTTCAAAGCTAGAAGTATAAATAAATATCTCATATTAAAATATAAATGATATCTCATATCAAATCTAGCTTGTGTGTCATATGAACGCAAGAAATAGTATATTATATAGAGGCACTATTCATCAACTGGTGATATGTTCAATTTGTGACAGGATCAGATAATTGTATATATTTTCAGAGTTTTATTAGTTTAGATTTTTACTGAATTAAATGTTCAGTCAAGTATGTTTTAAACATTATATACTTCACACTTCAGCTCTCCTAATTCTCTGTTTCAGCTTACTGCATGAGTACTTTGCTACAGCCTCAATCACCTAGTGCACCATCACACAACAGCCTGCCCAGGCGCGCCCCTCAAAGACCCTTTGTGTTTAACGTTCTAGCTTACTGTCTCCAGTTTAAAGGGTTAAGTTTTTACTACAGTATAGATCACATTTGATGTTACTGTCAAACGCACGTATCGCGTATATTGGATATTTTGGCATTCACAATTTGGACTAATTGTGGTGTTTGATTTGTGGACTTTGGAATTCACATCTAAAGGTTGGTCTTTTGATGATATTTTATTGTTTGTACGTATTCCTAGGATTTGTAGGTATATTGTGTTTATGCTGTTGATAATTTGGCTGTTTTTTGTCATGTTGTAAATATTAGCCAGATCATAGTAATTAGTTGTATTTCTGTATGCATTACAAGTGTTATTATTTACGTAAGGTAAATAATTCAGTAAGCGCTAAATTTAGGCCTAAAATATTATTTAACTAAATCTTCAATCACTGTGAAGCTGATGTATGAAAGTATGAAGTATGAAAGTAAGAATGTGAAACATATGTGTTGCTAGGTTACATATTGGTATAAATGAATGTGTAATGTATGAATGTATAATGTATGAATGAATCAGGGTTTTACTATTATATTTTAGAAATGTTTTAAGTTACTCTGCAATAACACTATGTATCTGTTTGTAGTAATATTGCTGCTATCAGATTGGTCTGCACAGTGGGTATATATCATTTATTTGTGGTGCCGATGTAGCTGTATTACTCGAGCAGAGGTCTGTGTCTGGACTGATGAACCCAGGTCCACACACTTGGTGGGTTTACTACGTTTTATATATATTTCTCATATATTGTATATTGTATGTAAACATGATAGTAAATGTATCATGTCACGTTTATGTCACACTATTTATATGATACACATATATAAGTATATATGCGGGTTAAGTATGTTTATGAGATAAGATTATTTAAGTTTTTGATGAGATGTAAGTTTATCAACTAGTAGTTATAGCATTTTCTATATATCATCAAATGTAATGAAATATTTGATGTCAGCATATGTTTATATTTTTGTGAAATGAATGTTTTACAATTGTTTCAGGGTTTAAAGAAATTTATCAGTAATAAATAACTGGCTATAACTGCGAACAACACCTGCGTCTGTCCTTCATATCATGAAGCAGTTCCGGTTTCAAATTTATCAACTAACACGAGTATTCCAGAGTGACAGTCAAAGAATACTGTTTTCTGTGTCATTCACTCTGAAACACGATCATCTCTAATATTTTCTACAGTTGATTTCAATAATAAAATTGAAATTTCTCTGCATGTGAATCTGCTATTATTTTACTAAATGACCAATTCTAAGATTAACTGCATGACTACTTGCTCTATGAAAATACATAATTCAAATATCACTGTCTGCACACATTACAACGTATATAAATTATGTTTGTGTGCATTAAAGAAATAAATACCAACAACACAAATACAACTTACACTACACAATTGCCGCTTTCATAGTGTATCTCAATATATTGTTACCTATCACTGAAATTTAATACTGCATCCATCACAGCTCCAATGTGAACATGATGGTAGTTCTGAAGATAATATCATCTTTGGTTTACAATCTGTCTTATCTTTCCTAGCATCAAATTCTCACGAACGTAATTTACATCAATGTTCAAACATCATAAAAAAAAATAATATGTCAACAATATAAACACGACAATATCAAGTGTTCAACACAAATATACTCACTAGGAACAATATTGTTTAACATCATGAACACAAACATTTCCTTTATCGTAGATCAGTATTAGTTTATTTTAAAACCAACCATCAAACAAGTTGAGGTCAGGTGTTTAATCTTTTCGCACAAGCAGGCCTCGAGACCACGGACGACAGATACAAAAAAAAACATAGCGAAAATTTGAATCTTGCATTTCAATCTCGCGTCATAACAGTCATTGTGTATTCCCGCGTGAGTGTCGCGAGTCCATCACGCAGCCACAGCGCATGTATCGACGTATGGTCTCTGGTCTGAGCTTCGGGCAAGCTGTCACATGCCGCTTCCTGGTTCCTTCTACGTCACAAGCAATCGGATTCAGGATATTTTAAGTGTGTGTATCACATTTCCATTTCGATTTTGCTTAACCATGATCTGCCCCCCGCTCCCCCCACATTCCCCCATCAAAACCCACCACTATCAAGATGAGAATCAAGTACAGACGAGACACCGCGAGAGGTCAGAGCTAGCGTGACCTTCCCTTTCTCATCATCCCCACTGTAGACATAACAAGGCTAGGTCTGTTATGGGCTGTGATAACGACAGTCATTCAGAACATACCTGCGTCACCGCCTCGTCCACAACCGACTGGACTGCGAGTCCTTGGTCCCCTGTCCAGCTGTGACTCGTACAGATGATTAGGATCAGGATTAGAGAAACATTCGTTACCATTGCTGCTAAAGCTGCATACTTTGGATCCATTTTGACGTGAAATGCTGCCGAGGAAAGTATATTCAACACAGTAATCACGTGACGCTTTCTAGCTACCACCACGCCCACATGGATCATTTCAACTGTAGAATGTTTATGCAAAGTGCATATAAATGGAAAATATGTGCAAAAAATCAAGATCCAAATAAATTAAATAAGACAATTTACAAATTAATACAATTTATGGTTGGCAAAGTGATAGTGATTTTTATGTATGTTACATAGCTGCATGTACTTTCGGATCGGATCGGATCTGTGCCTACAAACTAGCCTTACTTCAGGCTCTGTTGGCTGTTGAAGTTGAACGTATACCAAAAGCTGGGCATGATGTTGACAAGTTTGCTTGAGTTCACATGACTGTCTCCCTTTCAGTTTTATCCAAATGACGCATAAAAACGTGGACGTGGACTACGAGCAATAGCAGCTGCGGCTAATTGTGGTCAATTGAGGGGAAGTCGATACGGGGTCAACTCGCCAAGTAAGTTGGAGGACAAATTCAACAATGTTCACCGTAAATACCCCTATAACAATATGCACATATCACCAGCCAATACATGTAGCTACATAATGGGTCATAGATCAAGACAATCGAAGCAGTACTGTGTGTAAAAACGTCTTCAGAAGCTCACAGTATCGATTTTTCTACTCCCTGCTAAGAATGTGTATCGCAAACTTACTAGTGTTTTAGTTATTCCACCGTGCACGCCCCTAAACACGTTGAATCGATGGCACCTGTCCGCCCGACCATCGTCACTCTTTCCGAGACACATAAACCTGATAGTATAATGGGTGGTGTCTGTACCGAATATATAGACTAAAGTCCTTCAGTGCTCGACCCTTCTCTCATGGCGGCGCCTCTCTATGGAACCCCCCTCCCTTCAGCTTCAACAGTGCACCTGGTGTCACTGTGATTAAGTCTGGACACAAACTATACCCTTTTGAACGCTACAACTGAATGTGTATATTTTTATTATCTTACTGTCCCCTCTCTGTTGTGTATATGTACATATGCTGAATTTGCGCATTCAGCATGTCACTCGGTGACCTGGATTTTGCGCTAAACAAATAGCCTAATGATAATAATAACATAGTAGTAACAACGTACAGGTATTCGTCACAATATGCATTTTACCGCGCCCCGTTCGCTGTAGATGACATTGGCATACCAGCGATCTGACTGCCTATAAATTTGATATTTATAATGTTTTCCTCACATCGTCTGCTAAATGAAGGGCGCTATTAACGTAGCACACAGGTAAGTTCTGTGACGCATATTTTCACATGTATTTTCTGTAAAATTTAAAATTTGTTGTGTTTGAATTGAGTGAGGAGTAGCCTAAAGTATCATCGTCGTTGACCATCTGAACAGACTCACATTCCCTTTCCCCATGTTTCAGACATTCTACACGGACAAACATGGACAAGCTTGGTGTCATTGGTGTTACATTGGTGGCAGCGAATGTCATCCTGCTTGTAGCACTGACCGGTGTAGTAATGCACAGACACACAGACAGACAACGGTCACGTGACTTTATCCCTGTATCCCCATATAGTCTTAACACATCGGAGTTCATTGATTCAACTGTAAGTACTCCCGCATTTCAATTAGTTCTTGTATCAAACTACTCATCCTGTAAGAGTAAGAGAAAAAATGTATATCTACCTTATATATCTCAAAAATATATTCAATAACAGTACCAGTCCAAAGAATACTGCATTTGAAAAATTATTACGAAGCTGATTTATCTTATTGCTAATGTATCTAAGGATGTTTTGCAAATAGTTTAATTACATACATGGTTGGTAAAGATAACTGGTAGAATTTCACCTGAACAGTATGTTGAGGTTCTTGTCAATAGTGTATCAACTGTGTCAATAGTGTATCAACTGTGTCAATAGTGTATCAACTGTGTCAATAGTGTATCAACTGTGTCAATAGTGTATCAACTGTGTCAATAGTGTATCAACTGTGTCAATAGTGTTAAAGCATTCTCTCGCCATGACGAAGGTCCGGGTTCGATTCCCCACAAAGGTATAATGTGGGATAACCATATCAGCGCTGTGATATTGTTGGAATATTGCTTAAAGAGGTGTAAAACTTCAGAGACTTCAGAATGAAACATTGCAAGTACATGTATATATCTATGAGAAATAGGAAGTGAGTTCACTGGTCAATATGTTTAAATGGCTGTAGTATGAAGGCAGACTTGTGGATTTCAAGCTTAATTTCACAGTGTATGTGTCGGTACTGATACGTGATAACGGTATTAGCATCTGTACCGGAGCTTGGCAGGGGATCAATGCAGACGATGAAGTCAACCCTGTCTTCACTGAAACATTTACCCCCTAAAACAACCCTGGTTTATGACAAGACATCTATAATCGGTTTTCTGATGTTCACTGTTGAAGCAAGGTGGTGGATGACATTGTGTGACAGACACCTTCGAATGTTTCAGGTGACCAGTTCTACAGAAGAAACAAGCACAGGTAAAGAAACGCTGCATTATCTCCACACACACCCAGCATCACACTTCCTCACCACTGCTTACATTAAATAGTACTACATTCCTGATAACTAATCAGTGTTCTTAGTCCCCACATCATTCTGAGAACCTGTTGTCACAGCGCATACAACCTACGCACTTGATAATTGCAACAAATGTAATATTAAGTCCTAATAAGTGATAACTGAATTATGTAACAGCTGTATGAACTTTGCAACCTTAACCAGTTTAACAGTGCACAGCGACACGTTTAAGTTTGTAAAATGCAAACATCAAAATGGGTTAAATAGACGTTTTAGGCAATTGAATAAATAATACTAACCGTCTTATGACCTACTAACATTTGACTTTATTTACAAAAAAAAATATATGACCCTTCTCATGTTCAACCTCCCATGTTCAGCTCTCAAAATGCAATGGAAGCCCAAAGGTACCACGAGGTACAATCACATTGAAGCAGACGATCAAATCAACCAATCAAAATCCTCAATATTCTTACGAAGATCCCCATTAACATGAAATACACGTGATACGCATATTCACTAACCTGGCCTAAAACGGGCAAAGAGAGTACCATGAATAATACTGTTGTCCACAAAACTGTATAACACGAACAAGTGAGTGAGTGAGTTGGGTTTTAACGCCGCTTTTAAAATTATTCCAGTTATATCACAGCGTGTCAGCTTAATGAGGGAGGAAAGCTCGAAGTGATGCAGGTCTCAGACGTTTACCACTTCGGTGAAACCCACGAGCATGGGTATGGTGCTGATAAACCTAGAAACATAATCGGGGCGAACCGGGATTCGAACCCACAATCATAGCTTTCTGGCGTGTCCAGCGAATCGCGTCGCCTTAGACGACTGGGCCACTCGTGCCCCCGTACAACCCAAGCAAGAAATGTTTAAGTATAACGTATGTACGTAGTACGTTCCGTATCCATATACGCACACTCTTAACGGTTGTATATTCAGGATCTTCCGTCTTATGATGCGTTTAATAGATACTATTCATGTTGTTACAGTTGAAAACCTCTACCTGAGTGTTGCACACATTTACAACACAACAGGTAACCAGGGCAAAGCTGCTGCACATGTCTTCATTAACAGTTCGTCAAGCTACACAGGTAATTCCAACATATTGTGTGACCGAACTGTAAACCTGTAGGTAAATTGAGGATTCCCTCCTCAAACGAAAGAAAATCGAATGCGGTAATAGCACGAATACAGTACTAGTCATGGTGACGGAAGGTATAAATATACCTATCCTAACTATAATTATAAAACGTCAATGCCAGAGAATTATCTATCTCGAGTATCCCGCAAAACACATTCCTTTGGGCGCAAAAGGAAAAAATAGCGGTGAAAATGATAGGAATGGATCGTTAAATATCAGCGATGACATGAGGTGTTCCTGAAAGGTGTAAGCATGTCCTGCTCTACCGGTAGTATGGCCTCTCGCACAATGCGCGTGACAACGTATACGACGTACATCAACTATCATTATTTCTGTACCCCGTGCTTTTTCTTCATCAATTAAGGTGATGATGAGTCGACCCTCACCTGGAGACAGGACATGGATGCAGCCTTCGTCAGTGACAAGATATCCTACAAAGACGGCGGTCTGACTGTGAAGGAGGGAGGCTACTACTACATCTACAGTCAGGTACAGAGACAAACGTGACTGCCCCGATTGTACACACAGCATGTCACTGTTTTATACTCTCTTATTGCAGATCATAACCATTTGTTAAGAAAAATATATGTTTGTAATGTATTACTCATTGTTAATCAATGGTTCCATGTGGTTATTATGTCCAATAATCTAGTGTCATTATGAAGAAGATGTTGAACTGTTTACATTACAACTCATCGCTCGCTTCAGGTCGTTGTGAGGAGGGGAATGGATGGAATTGGCGTAAAACTGTAAACCCTCAATCATTACAGATCGTGTACAGCGGGAACGGGAGCCGGGACTGTGCCTCTGGGTGGATTCTGCACACTGTGGTGAAACAGACGGCGTCAGAGCTGGAGGAAGCACCAACACCCCTAATGAGGAACCTACAGTCCACCCCCAGCATCAGACGGGGACGTCTCGCCTACACCAGCAGCAGCCTCGGGGCCACCTTCTACCTGGAGGCCAACACCAGGGTCAAGGTCATGTCCAGTGTTCCCGGGAACATCCATGTCGGTGCACCTCACTCCAACTACTTCGGGATGTTCCTGATATAATGTTTAATGTTCCCGGGAACATCAATGTGAGCACTGGATAGCTTTCACTTTAACTGCATTTGAACATTTTTCTTGAGTTTGTTATTGTTTTCATTATTTAACTGAAGCATTTATCCATTGCATAAGCTTCTGACATAACAACATGTATGTCATACCCCAAAGACATAAGTATGCAAATTAGATATGCAAATTAGGTAACCGGAAATGGGACTTTTGTCGCCGGTACACGTGAGTAGGTGTTTACAAACAACATGGATACCTTTGATGTTGGAGACAATGTTTTAATAGCTCAAAGGGGAAGTGCTACAGTGATATCCGTGTTGACAAGTGGATATTACAGGTTACAGGTTGATGGTACACCAACGTTTCAACATCGAAACACCAACGTCCAGCACGGCGACCAAGATAGATCGCCCAAGATAGATGGCTGTGGCTGTTGAGGAGGGCATTATCGATGGTGTGGTCCTAGACAATCAAAACAAAAACACAGCCAAGAAACTGTTTTTTAATGAAAGGCCCGATGAAATTCGCCTAATGCATGAAATACTTCCAAACGAACTAGACACACTTCTCTGCAAGTTTTTCATCAGAGTTAAAAAAAACAAATGGCGAAAGTTATGAACCAAACAGTCTAACGGGTTTTCAGAGCAGCATCGAGCAATAAGTGAAATTACACCAGAGATATCATCTGATCCGTTATTAAAGTTTCAATTATTCTGCAAAGGTCTGTTCAAGTATTTTGTTTAAAATAATCTGAGGAATTGTTTTTCAGCAAAGGAATATTCTATAAAGGAGTTAAGAGGTTGTTTATCATGGTTCACAGTAACTTCACACGGCTATGGAAAACGATCAGATTTTGTATCTCATTTCACATTTGTTCACATTTGTACTGACCAAGTTTCTTATCACCCGTGCACAACACTATAGTGTCAAACGTGTTTTTTCACGTGCAACTGGTCACGTTGACAGATTTCGAGGCGGAAGTGTCATGGTGTGGGGTGCTTTCTGTGGCAATGCACGTTCCAGGCTTCTTGTCATCCGTGGCAACCTCAACGCTGCTGCCTACCGCGACCAGGTACTGGCACCAGAATTTTTTCTGCCTTCTGCCCCACGATAATGCCAGACCCCACACAAGGAATTTCCTTCAGAATGCAGGAGTCAAAGTCATGGACTGGCCGTCAAGGTCTCCCGACCACAATCCCATCGAACACGTCTTGGATGCTCTTGGCAGAAGTCTGCACACACTCCAGAACCAACCACAGAATTTGCAAGATCTTGGCACCATTTTGCAGCAACAATGGCGTCGTCTTCCCAATCATGTTTTAACAAGCATCACAGGGTCCATGCGGAGACGTTGTGTGGCAGTTGTCAACGCACATGGTGGCCATACACGCTACTGAACTTGTGTGCCATCAGATTCTCGTGCTTGGGACTTATGATTTAAACTGTTGATGTTATTACCGAATACCGTAGGTGCTTGGAACAAATTATGGTTACCGGCGTTAATTAAAATCCTTCTTTGGACATTAAAGATTAAAAAGTACCTTCTCTGATACATTTGTCCGTTGTATATCATATATGGGATTACTTTTAAAAATGTGAAGTTTTTAATTTGACACAGTATATATACATTTTGCATTTATATACGACAAATTAATGCAATGAATTTATCGAAAACAAGTCAGCAAAACATAAACATAAGAAATCTGTGTTAACAGCAGAGTCATGATACCTGTTTTGCAACATATTCTCCTGATATGAGAGCCAAGATACGGCTGACATCGAACATTAAACTATCCACGATTGTAGTTCCTCACATGTCTATATGGTTTGACAGGCCCAGCTGCACCTGGCTCAGTCAGATGCATATGAATTGATGTCTTGCAGTTAATCCTTCCAAGTTGTCATGATGCTAAACTACATTATTACTATCATATGTGAAAGTATTTCTGGCAATAATATATCAGGCTTTGTATCTCATGGGAGCACATGGCTTATGATCTTAATGGTCACAAGGTAGACACGAGATGCTCCCCGACCTTAGTTTGACTACATGTATAGGGATTTCAAATGTTCTAGAAGTTTTATATTTTTGTTATCTATCTCCCAACAGATAATGCTTGTTTAATTAGACTGTTTTGAAATTTAACCCAATTATTATATATATATAACCAAGAACATTTAATAATTTGTAACACTAATATGGGTGTCTATCAGGAATTCTAAGTATATAAGACACTGCATTACCATGATAATATGTTTTCAGACAAGCATACAGTCAATGTCTATAACCGACTTCACCCCCGTAGCACCTCCCTCCACACCAACCCACCACCAACCCCGTCCCCCGTCCCCCGTCCCACTAGCCCTCTCATGCTACCGGTAGCCCCAATCAGACTGGGATCGATTATGTCTTGTCTAGTGAGACGGGGGCTACAGGGATGGCGCCCTATAAACACATAAAAAACGATTTGAAGAAGGAAACAATGCTAAAACATACAGTATTACCTTTTTTCTTCAAAAGTTCAAAAGTTCAAGCACACATATGTTTTGTATAAATGAAATATGAACATGCACAAACATATTTTATATCACATAAACTCAACAATTATATTTAACAATTTATTTTTGAACAAGGATATATACAAGAACATTCAAAACTTTTTAATTATTTACTTAGGTGAAACCAATAAGCTCTACTCAGAGAATTGCGGCTCCCTAGACGACTGGTTTGCTTAACAAACTTTAACGCCACACTCAGCAATATTCCAGCTATATGATGGCGGTCTGTAAATAAAGTCTGGACCAGACAATCCACCGATTGACATCATGAGCATCGACCCAAGCAATTGTATCAACCAACCCAGGGAGCCTGACCACCCAATACCATTAGTCACCTCTTACGACAAGCGTAGACGCCTTTTACGGCAAGCAATAGGTTGCTGAAGACCAATGCTGACCCAAATCAATTTCTAATCGAAATTATCTTAACCCTCTTGGTGCCAGGGGACCATATATGATCCCGAGAAAATGCCCTTTTTAAACTGTGACTTTGGATATTTAACACTGAGTGCGCAAAGTCAAAACTATAACCATCATCACCTAACTCATCTTAGCTTTAACATCGTGTAACTCATACTTTATACAATGCTACGGATTGCGAAATATGGCGAGATTAGTAAAGTGGCTACCGCTCTTCTCGGCTTTTTTCTGCCATGTTTGAACACCAAGCGAATGACGGCGAATTTTGATTATGCACCCACGTCACATACACGTAAATAATTTCAGACAAAATCCTTGTTCATAAGAAAAAATATGACCTGAGTGGTCAGAAAGACATATTTTTCCCAACTGTATACTTATTCACGTAAACACAAATTCTGTTCACTCCTTTATGAACATTGTCAAGTCTATTTACACGTTTTGTATATTTTTATCGACTATCGGTAATGGCGGAATGGTCGGTACACATGAGAAAACGACAGTGTATATTTCCATTACATTTATGACGTTCATTGAATGAATGTATAACCATCATCACCCTAATCATCTCAACGTTAATATCGTGTAACTCATTTTTTATGCAGTGCTACGGATTGCGAAATATGGCGAGATGAGTAATGTGGTTACCGCTCTTCTCGGCCTTTTTCTGCCATGTTTGAACACCAAGCGAATGAAGGCATTTTTTTATTATGCACCCATGTCACATACACGTAACTATTATTATATCAGACAGCCAATTTGAAAAAGAAATCTGATCGGACTGGTCAGAAAGATTTACTAGTCCCCACTGTACAGTTATTGGCGTAAGAGTACTAACGTTTAGTCGGCCACGGAAGTTTTTTGTTCAAGTATTGCATATGTTTATCGACTGTGTCATGGCGATTTAGAACGGCGCTACATACAAACCGACAGTGCAGATTGTCCTTTTGTTTATGATGCTGATTTACAGAAAATATTCAAATCAAAGATACGGAAAGATAGCTATAATCGTTAATATTAAGTTGGTATGGTGTATATTTATGGGCAGGAGGTTCATGATCAAAACCTAAACATTGAATGGCCAAGCCCGAAGTGATGAACAGTACACGTTCGCATCATAGCAGTGCCGCGATTTCTTGTTTACCGGTTGTCCTACATACTCGCCCGTTCAGACAAATAACTGCTACTTTTTTTCATATGAAATGACTAAGAGTCATGTGTGATTGCTCAAACTACCTGACCGTGTGAGTGACTTGCCCTAACTGTTTCACATTTTGTCGCAAATGGAGATTTCAAAAGTGTGGCCACGACATCTAACGTGAGTCGACGCCATATTGTAAACAAATTGTGTCAAGGTCGGTTCCACATGTGGTAGCTCGGCCCCCCGTTTCTGTCGATGGTACACGCGATACAAACATAATACAACTACTGAAAACATCAACATAACTTCTACAATGATGACATCAATACTTTTTTTGTATTTGGGTTAACCGCTTATGGATACGCTGTGCTGTTAAGTTCGATTTCGATTTGTTTTTCCTTTCATTGAAACTGCGATAATGGCGCTGTGATGGTTTGCTGAAATAGTATTTTCCATGAGTCTAATGTACATGGTACATGCTGTGATTGTAGAAGATAATTGATAACCAATTGTGGATGCATATATATCATCAAATACACATTACTAATCTCTTCAGAAAATGGAATATATTATAGCTCGTTTTCAAACATTCTGCCAT